GCAGGTCGTCGACGTAGACGATGAGCAGAATGTAATCTCTTCCCTTCTGTAGTCGGTACATGCCTTGGTCATGTGGTAGCTGTAGGAATCCGATTTTTACGAGCCGGCCGTGAAGGTGCTGCTGCCAGAGCCGTGGGGCTTGCTTGATCCCGTAAAGGGATTTTTCCAGCTGGCATACTTTTGAAGGGTCGTCGATGAATCCGTGGGGTTGTTCGACGAAGATTTCGGCGTCCACAGGTGCGTACAAGAAGGCGTTTGCAACGTCGATTTGCCGTAGTGGTAGTTTCTTCGTGGCCGCGATGGCGAGTAGGATGCGCAGAGAGGTGTGACGGGAGACTGGAGCGAAGGTTTCTGTGTAGTCGGTTCCGTATCGTTGATCGAAGCCTCGTACGACCCATCGAGCTTTGAATCGTTCGATGGAGCCGTCTGAGTTGGTCTTGATGCGGTACACCCATTTCCCCGAGAGAATGTTCTTCCCGTTGATGCTCGTTGCAGGTACCAGTTTCCATGTTTCTCGGTCTTGCAGAGCTTTTAACTCTTTTTCCATCGCTTCCTTCCATTGTGCCTTATGTTCCCCCCCCAGAGCCTGCGACAGGGTCGACGGCTCGCGCGGAGAAGGCGGCGGCGGGTGCTGGACGGAGACCCATAGTCCTAGGATCTGCAGTCCCGTGGCTGTGTGTCGAGGGGAGTTTTCATTCTCGGGATAAGCTGCTTCATCACCGTCTTCAGGATCGGGTAAGAAGTTTGGCCCGATGCGTTCGGAAATATTCGAGTCGACGGGGTGTGGTGTAGCGTAGCCTTGGTCAGCGAAGTGGTAAAAGGTGTCGAGGTTGTTGCTATCGAGAGGATTATCTTCATCGAGTGGAACAGGTACGGAGCAGTAGGGGAGTGGTCCGGCAGCCTCCGAGGCTCCAGGGACGTCTTCTTCTGCTGCGTCAGCCTCGGCAGCATGGTCAGCGAAGGAGCGAAGGCCCGCGAAGCCGTCGGTGGGGTCGTCTGAGTTGGCAATGTTGTCCAGGTAATGCTGCAGCGTCAGTCGCTCGTAGAAGATAACATCACGTGATGCCACCGTATTTTTGTAGTGTATGTCGAGAATCTTCCACGCGTGAAAATGTTTGGCGATGCCGAGGTGTAGTCCCCACCGAGCTCGTTGAGTGAAGCGTCCTGCTCGAGCTGTGTGGGGTCTGTATTGTACCATGCAGCCGAAAACTCGAAGTAATTTTGTGCTGCCCCTTTTTCCCGTCCACAGCAGGTGCGGTGATGCGTTGTTGGGGAGCGATGACGAGGACAACAGGTTGTGCAGGTGGACTGCATGTGTCATCGCGTCTGGCCACAGTGTATTGGGCAGCCTCATCCCCAGAAGCAGTTTTCGCATCGTCGTCTGCAAGGTCCGGTTCATGCGTTCTGCTACCCCTTGCTGCTGGTGAGCATAGGGCAGAGACACCAGGCGTCGGATTCCCCTTTCCGCGAGATAGGTCCTGAAGCGTTGTGACTGGTATTCCAGTGCACCGTCTGACTGGAAACTCTTGAGTTTGGTTCCTGACTCTCGTTCGGCGATTGGAAGCCATGTGGTGAAGGCCTCGAAGGCTTGATCGCGCATTTTGAGATTGAAGTGCCAGACGTATCTGGTTGCGGCGTCGATGAACGTGATGACGTAGTTGAAGTCGGCTTCGGTGTCGTCTCGAGGCATGTTTAGAATATCGCTGTAGACCTTTTCCATCGGAGCGTAAGTGGGTGCGCTTGGATTGTGATGGGCTGGGAAAGGTTGATGAGGAAGATCTGCTTCGGGGCACGTGAAGCATCGTGCTCTTGGTCGGCGAAGTTCTTGGCCGCTCGTCGTTAGAAGGGCGTTACGTTCTAACACCTCTGCTTGTATTGTTTGTAGTATCGTGCTGTTTGCAGGATGTCCGAGACGTTGGTGCCAGATGTCGTCGGGAGCGCGGTGACCGGGCGAGCGGTGGTAGATGTCGGCGTTGGAGAAGAACGCGACGACCGAGGCGGGACTTCGACAAGCTTCTCGTGTGGCGGGCATAAGTTGGTCTGCTTCCGTTGGCGGTCCTCGTGTTGATGGTGGTGGTACTCGGCTGGGTCCTGCTGCCGATACTGCAGGTGATGGTTTTGTTGGGACGCTTGCTGGTACTTGTCTTTCTTGTCTGATAACTGCTAATGCCCGTGTTCTCTCTGCTGCAGGTATGGTGTTGGAGTGCCAGAAGCCGTCACTGTCGAAGTCGGGATCAAGATCTGGTGGGTGAGTCCAGGCGGCGAACGATACGATGCCATCGCTGTCGGCAGTTCCGCGGTCGGGGACGAAGTCCAACACGAAGACACCGGACTTCAGGAGGGCACGACCGATGAAGAGACCGCCCTTCCCGTGGTAAAGTCGGAACTCGTTGGAGAAGGAGTCGCACTCCAGGTGAATCCCCTTAGCCATTAGTTGGCTTACGCTTAGTAGGTTGTATCCCAGATTGTCGACGATGAGGACTTTGTTGAGCTGAAGAATAACGTTTGTCTCCATTGATTGTAACTGAACCACGCCTTGCCTGTTTGTTTTCAGGTTTTCGTTGTTGGCGACGGTGATGACGACGTCGCGGTTGAGGCGTCGCTCGTGTTGTACGAAGCGTCCGGAGGAGCACATGTGCTGACCGCAGCAACTGTCCAAGAACCAGGTGTTCCGCCCGGTGGGTTCGGCGTTAGCGACTGCAGCGTATGTCGGGTTGACCTGAAGTCCTTGCGAGCGCGGCGGCGGGAATTCCTCTTCGTCTGGTGCGTAAGTGGGTGGTGAAGCGGGTGCGCAGTTGTCGATGTGTACCATGCAGTTGATGATGTTGGGTGTTTGTTGTGCAGATGTTGAAGAGCGCCTTGGAGGACTTGCTTGAGTGGAAGCGACTTGTGGGTCTGCTGCGCGGTAAACGCGAGGGCGGTTGCAGTTGACCTTGGAGTGCCCGGAAGTCTGACAGTTGTGGCAGAACGGCGGCACGATGGTGAGTCCTCGGTTGTCGCGTTGATCTTGCTTGCTGCGTCGGTTGTAGTTGTTGTCATTTCTTCTTTGAGTGTAGAAGACTAACTGCTGTTGCTTCCTTGGTTGTCTTTCCTCGAACAGATCCATCTCCTGTTGTTCAGCGTGAAGCTCGGCGCAGAGGTGCATCTCCGAAATTCTTCCGTGGGCTCGAAGAAGTGATCGTGTGGTTCTCCATTCTGGCCCGAGCCCGGCGAGGACAAGTGTCACGAAGCTTTCTTCAGTGATCGTTCCTCCGCACCGAAGCAGGCGGTCGCGGAGGGTCTGGCAGCGACTCATATACTGCATCGCCTTTTCCCCGGTCTTCATCTGTATTGTTGTCAGCTGTTGCATGAGTCTGCTTTGTGTCACGCTGTCGTTTGCTTGGTAAAGGCATTTGAGGTGGTGCCATGCGAGCTCCGCGGAGTTTCCATAACTCCGATACGTTCTGATGCTCTGCTGCTCTTGTGGTGACAGGTTTCTCAGGAGTACCGTGTACGCCAGCAGCGACTGATACGTGAAGATCTCTTGTTCCTTCCCAGTGCCGTTGCTTGGGAATGGCAGGGACCCGTTGAAGTATCCCAGAAGATGCGCGGCCTCCATCAGCAGCTCAAACTCGAAGCTCCAGGTAAAGAAGTCGTGTCCGTTGAACGGTGAGGATGTCTGAAGTTTGATCACGTGTGAGAACTGCGCCTGTAAACTTAAGATTTCATTCGGTGTTTGTTGTGAAGCAGCTGCTGTTGGCTGGGCACGGGGCGGCATGAATTCGAACGTCCCCGGCGAAGAATGATAAGGCGCAAAGGTAGGCGCTTGGTTGTGTCGCCCGAAGGATGAGTTGTCGAGGCTCATCGGTGCTAATCCCATATTCCCTCCATTGCTCTGTGTTGAGTGCGCAGGTGTCCTTGTCTGCTGCTGCTGGTCGAAGTGTGACATGAAGCTGAAGAATCTCTCCATGAGATTCGGGTCCACACTTGAAGAGGGAGACGGAGTCACCATCTCTGGTACTCTTCCCGTTGTTTCTTGAGTAGTCCCGGTCTCTGTCTGCAGTCCTGAGGTGTGCAGACCAGAGTTGCCGTGTTGAGTTTCTTGGGCGCTGGGTGAGCCCGTAGAGACTTTCTTGCCCTTGTTGTCCATGTCTTGTAATCAATGGAGTTGTTGAATCAAGTTGAGTTGCTGGTTGTTGATGGAGTGTAGTTGCTGGGAGTTTTGATCTCTGACCAGCTCTCATACCATGTTGGGCTGAGAAAAGCCCTTAGGATCTTTTGCAGAGACTAAGTCCCAGCTGTAGAGACTTGAGACTTGGAGTAGTGCAGCGGAAGTTGAGGCAGTTGAACCCTTGTACTAGTATGTGAGAACAAGTGATTGATTAAAGAAACAAGCATACAGCAATATATAGAAGATAAGGAAGCAGTTGTAGAATACAGTTACAGGAACGGTTTATCGAGTCGCACAGCGACTCGATTGCCGCTTCGGTTACCGTCCGTGATGTTGTAACGGTCAGTCGCAACCTCCAGTTGCGACCTTTCGAGTCCTTTCGCATTCTTTGTCCGCCCCCTCGTGTAACCTCCGTTGACTCGCGTGCTCCCCTGTAATCTTCCTCGAGTACAGTGTTACACTTCAGAAACGCTTAAGTCCTTGAGATATTTCCAACAAGCTAGGAGCTAGGAGGAGCCATGAGAATGGCGAGAGATTTTAGGTGCTAGGAAAGTTGAGGAGAGGAAAAGAGAGTTGGATTAGGAAGAGAGAGGAGTACAAGGAGGGGTTTGTACCCTCTACAGAAAAGGTTCAGTAACAACCTACCAAGCCTATATAAATTATAACTTATATAATTTTAACAGATTCGTGTGCTAACTAAATACCTGCGTCGTGATGGCCACAACTTCGTTCCCCACTTGCTTTGACGTGCATACGGTTACCCTAGGAGGAGTGGAAAAAAACGAATGGTTGGACACATCTATGCATTGCAAAATTCTAGTGTTTCCTGCTAAAATTGCAGATTCTAGGTGGCAGGGGGGTGTTCAAAAGTTTTCACGTCCGAAAGTAGGGTGTTGTGTATATCCAGAAAAATTCAACACTTATACCTGCTCAAGCTACCCGGGGGAGCTTAATTCCGGCGGGTGTTTTATACGGGGGATTACGGTACAAGGCCACCACAGGGTGGTCTAGGATAGGGGTAGCATGCTACAGTAGAGCGAATGGTGCCCCACGAGCCACATGCTAATACGGATAAGTGCCCTTCACAAGTCCCTTGGGCGAGTAGAAGCACGCCCATACCTGCCAGCCTGCACCCGCACATGTGTACGATGCACATCCAACGTCTGTTGACGCTCCTGACACAATCTGGATATAATGCGAGCAGATCTGGCCCGTTGCGCATCCGCCATTGAGAAGCGCGTACGTGTAGTAAGCCTTCTCATCCACCCATGATTGCACGACCATGCCCGGGGTCCACTGCCCGATGCCACCTGTCGCTAGCAGATTCTGGCCGTACGGGACGGCAGTGGAGCGTGTGGTTGTGTGGCAAGTGGTGTCTGTTGTGCCGAGCTGTGTCACCCAGGTCAGAGCCGCAGTTGCCACTGGAGGGGGGAAAGGAATGGGAGAGTGAGACTAAAGATGTACGGCAGAGGGTATCCATGAGAGGTTTCATATCAGCAGCAGAGGGTATCAGATAACATTGTGCATGCTGCGGTCCGTCCTGCAAAACACCACACACCCATTATAGTCACACTCACAGGTGTCATTCCACGTCAGAGGCGGCAGCCCCGCAGCAGAGGAAGTCCAAGTGACACTGCTCACAACGACGCACTACAGTCACACTCACAAGTGTCGTTCCATTTGAGAGCTGGTAGCCCCACAGCAGCGCGGGCAGCATTGTGGGGGTCGAGGAAGTCTGAATGACCCACAGCCTCGCACTTGCCATTGACCATGCGGTAGCCCTCCGTGCAGTTACACACGCCCGCCCCGTTCGCCACGTAGCAGTCTGAGTTGGGCCCGCAGTTGAGCGGCGTGCACACGTCTGGTGAATGGTGGCGCAAGGGGAGAGGAGGGAGGGGGGGGGGGGCGGAGTGGAATGGAGAGGGAGAGAGGGAGAGAGGGAGAGAGGGAAGGAATGCAAAGAGGACGAATGGAGTGACACGAGTGCTGTGGCTTGCCGACTCCAGAAAAGAAGAAGTAAAGAGGTGATGAATCGACTCACCGACGCATGTGCCGTTCTTCTCAGCGAATCCCTTGTTGCAGTAGCACTTGGCGCCCGCCCACGAGCTGTCCAGGTGGCTGTTGGGCGGACACGTGTACAGATTGCTCACGTCCTGCCCTGCTCGGTGGTTACAGCGTAACAGCGGAAAATGCAAAGAACAGACGCAACAAAAAGATTGGGAGTGATATGATAAACAGGAGAGGAAGCATGTGCGCTAGGAAGAGACTGATTAGGAGGAAACTGGTTACCAGCATGGTTTGCGAAAGGCTTGAGTCAGGCACTTACAGTATTGGCAGCTGACGGACTTGAGTGGCGTGCGAATGCCGGGATAGGGGCTGAAGGAAAAGGAAAGGAAGAGAAGAGAGCAGAAGAGTGGGGGCGGAGATAAAAGACTAGGACAGACGGCCCCGAGTAAGAAGGGCAAAGCCGAGGGGAGAGGAGAGTGAGGTGGAGATAACAGCTGAGAATGGATGCACGAGAGACGAGAGCCCTTACGTCTCGATCGTACGTCGCTCAAATCATCGCACGGCAGGGAAGGAGCGACGTAAGATCAAGTTACGAGGGACGTACGATCGCGAGCTGGGCGAGGGCGGGTTGCGGTCGGTGGGGCACGTGAGCTGCTGCACGCCGTAGTTGCAGTCGCGCTGCGAGTAGAACTGGATCTGCACTCCAGCATTCCCACCCATCCACAGACGGCAGGGCACGCCCAAAGACTCAAAACGAAGTCAGATTGTCGGGCGCCTAGAAAATGCACGCCGTTGTTGCAATCGGGCTGCGAGTAGAACTGGAAATGCGTTCCCACCGACAGACGGTAGTATGGGCGTCCTTTGAGCCCGATTTTATTCAGGTGTCTATAAAAACAGCAAGGCACTAGGAGTCAGAAACTCGAGTCAGATTCTGGATTCGGGGTTAGAATCCGCTTTTGAGTCTGACCTTATTGCACCGCTCCTGACCTGCTTGCACCGCTCTGCACTGCTTACCAGCTTGCACGTGACGAAGTACCAGTCGCTCTTCATCGCGTCCGTCGGCGCGTACCACTCGATCTTGATCGAGCCGTACGTCGTCGACGGGTAGTAGGCGGACGGGAAGTTGAGGCAGCCGTTTGTGGGGTTAGGAAGCCACGTCACCCACTTCGCGCCGGTGTAACCCGTCTGGTTCCACCACGTCATTCTCGAGGCGCACGGCGTGTCGCGCTTCGGAGTCGCGTTGATCATGAGCGACCGGCGGTTTCTGGAAGCTGCACAGCGACCAGTGGGAGTGCAACAGATTAATACTTCCTGGCTCGTCAAAATACGTAGAACAAAAGGCATTAAGATGGGAGGGTCTCGACTCGAAAGGACTCGAGGAATTGAGCAGAGAGCGCCGCCCCTTGAGGGTGATGCGCCGCCCCTTGCGGGTGATGCGCCGTACCTTGCGGGTGGCGCAGCTGCGCATCGCTGCGAAGGATCGGCGCGACGAAATTGGTGCCGTCAGCTGGTGTGGACGGGAGTGGAGGGCGAAGGGGAGCGAAAGGCCGAAAGACGACGACGGTGAGAACGACGAAAGGGATTCAACGACTGAACGGTGTGGAAGTAGAGGAAGGAATGTTTCTTTTTTTCCTTCTTTCGCTGCGTGGACGATTCGGGGTTGCGACGAGGCGAAAATATGCATGAGGGAAGAAAAGGGGCTTGCCTGGCGACGCGTCGGCGACGAACGTCGCGAAGAATACGAGAAGCGCGAAAAGGACCAGCCGTGCCATGGTGATTATGAGCTGTACCTCCCAGAGAATTCGGCCGATGGCTGGTTTCTGAAGAAAACTACTAACTGCTATTGCGTCAAGCAGAGCTAATTTGCGAGTGGTCTGATATGAAATGTGGCGGAATGGTGACTCTAAATGCTGAAGAATGAACGAGTGAGGTGAGCTGGGAGAGGATGAGTTGAGGAGCAGAAGCTGGCAAACACGAAATTGTACGGCATGTGTAGCATGGGGAAGGGATGGGAGGGATGTGCGGGATATATGGTACAGTATTGGGTGCGTGCGTGCATGGGATGGGATGGGATGTGTGGTATAGTTCTTGACCATGGACTCCTCCAAATTTGGCGGAGCAGAAACGCCATGGCGAAAACAGAAATCATCGGCCGTAACCATGTTGTCGTCAGGGGAAAGGGTTTCCTTGCATCCTGTTGCGAAACGGTTACGCTTCATGAGCTATCGTTTCGCGGAAGCATGCACCTGAAGTTCGCGCGAATCGCAGATGTTGCGAAAACTCCCATCCTTGAAACCTCCAGTTTGGAATCATGCGCGAGAAGCTCGCCGTGCATTCAGCAGAAATCCTGAGACCCAACAATCCAGGGGGCCAGGTTGGGACATTCGCGGCGCGTTCAAGGCAGGAAACGGCGGCAAATGTCTATTCTCAGGTTCATAAGGAAACTTGCTGAACGCTGATAGGAGCGCAGGATCGAGTGATGGATTTCCCGCCGTGTTTAGCGGCGCCCAGTCTGATAATGGTGGGGGTGACGCACTTGAGAGGCGATTCGTTTAGCCAGCTTCTACATTTGGGCGGATGCTTTAAAGCGAGAGGTTATAATAGTGACCCCTCTTTCTAGTTGGGCCCAACTAGAAACGACCCAACAGTGAATATGTTTTTGGAGGGGTGGGCAGCAGCCCGCGTTTTATATCAAGCCGTAGGCCACGAAATCGAATTGCACTTGCGACATTTCGCACTGGCGATAGATTTTACGACCACAGATTCGCGCAGTTAGCATTTCGACCAATCGGGGCCCAGCCTCGTTTTTGCCGGAGTAGTGCACCTCGGTCCAACTTGAAATTCGAGTTGGGCCCATTTGGTGCAGCTTACAGGCAGTGGGGCCTGGGCGACAGGTGGTGCGCTGCTTGGGATTTTTCCTGAGCCACGTTTCCCATCGTACGTCATGTGTTTCCCGTCAACCAATCAGGTAACTGCCTCTTCTCGCTCAATTTCCCCTGCTCGCATTTCTCGACAGTGTACCCTCTGCCCCGTCGCAGTTTGTCCCTTAGTCGCAAAAAACGGACGTTTGGGCCCTTTCGAGTTGGACCCGCCTTCACTATTTTGACTTCTCGCTTAACTATATTTCGACAGATACACTAGAACACAGCCCGATGGAAGTGTATGGTATTAGAAGCCCCGGAAGCCGACTTCTGGAATCTTGAAATGTCAAAGGAATAATACTGACTGAAAAAATCCAGATGACAGCTAAAAAAAAAAACTTGGGAGGCGTGCACACAGCTGCAAATCAACCATTCTCAGCAGCGTCATATGAGTTGGACTTGTGCTTTGGAACAAAACGGAAGCTCGGAGGTGGAGGGCCCAACAGCATTTCAGATATCTTGACCTGGTTAAGGTAAAGCAGGTGGGGTGACACATAAAAGGAGCACAAGATAAGACGGAAGGTATGGAAGGAAAGCAGGGAGCACGATGGCACAAGGAGCAGAGCACACAGAGCCAAGCACAGCAATGCAAGCAGCAGAGAGGGGGGGGGAGAGGAGGAGGGGGGGAGGGCGGAGAGGAAGGAAGGAGAGGAAGAAGGGCTGGTCAGACCCGAATAGTGTTTCAAGGTCGTTCTGCCCGTAAAAGGCCCGTGGCCGCCAGTTGATGCGCTGAGGCACCATGTCCAGCAGCCCCACCGGCACGTAGCGGTGCAGGTAGCTCAGCCACTCCAGCAGGGCGCCAGGAGTTTCGCCCCTCTCCCATCTCTTCTACCCACAAGCCCAATCAAACCCCTTGTCTTGCAAGGAAAGAGAGGAAGAAGGGGGGAATACTCACCCAATCCTGCGGTTGGTCCGACCCAAAGAGTGTCTCGAGGTCGTTCCGCCCGTAAAAGGCCGGTGGCCGCCAGTTGATGCGCTGAGGCACCATGTCCAGCAGCCCCACGGGTACGTAGCGGTGCAGGTAGCTCAGCCACTCCAGCAGGAAGCGCCTTGTGGTCTCCACGCCCCTAGAGTCGGAGCCCCAGTGCAGCAGCCCGTAGCGCGTGAACGAGCGCAGCATGTCCAGTCTTTCTGTAGCTGAGATGTCCCAGTGGCGCTGCTCCGTGATCTCTGTCAGTAGCCACGGCTGGGGGAAGAGAGAGAAAGGAAGGGGAAGAGAGAGAAAGGAAGGGGAAGAGAGAAAAAATCTTGCACTGTTGAGCTCCTTATAGAATGCTGCAGTCAGCAAACTCATGAGGGTCGCATCACTGTCTCTTTGGGTTAACCTCAATAATCAATACGCCGCACAGCATAAGACTCTCACCTTGATTTTTGAGGCGCCTAAAAATTCGTCTCAATGATCAATAAGTGCCGCGCAGCATATTACTCACCTTGATGAGCGCACCACGGGCCAGCATGCACGAATCGACAGCTGTCGCGCTCCCATTGGCCGTGTGCTGGTTCCAATCCGTGTATGCCAACACATCGCCGTTGCCTATGAACTGCAGGCAGAGGCAGGAAGGGACAACAGGACAGAAGAAGGAATCCACAGTGAAGGAGGACATTTGGGATAGAAAAAGGTACGCACTTGAGAGAGAAAAGATGCAACCTTAGGCCTATCGCCTACCTGCAGCCCTGCTGGTTTGACTGCACCTGTAGCACTGTACCTGCAGCAGCCCTGCTGGTTTGACTGCACCTGTAGCACTGTACCTGCAGCAGCCCTGCTGGTTTGACTGCACCTGTAGCACTGTACCTCCTGCAGCCCTGCTGGTTTGACTGCACCTGTAGCACTGTACCTGCAGCAGCCCTGCTGGTTTGACTGCACCTGTAGCACTGTACCTGCAGCCCTGCTGGTTTGACTGCACCTGTAGCACTGTACCTGCAGCCCTGCTGGTTTGACTGCACCTGTAGCACTGTACCTGCAGCCCTGCCGGTTTGACTGAGGCGCATTCCCCAATGTACTCCCAGTCGGCCAGCCGGCTGTAGCGCTGCTGGCGAGTGCGGCCGTGCAGGGTGACGGCTGTAGCGCCCCAGTCCAGCAGGTGCGGGATGTAGCGGTGGGCCACGTTGTGCCCCTCAGCGTATCCAGTTCGCATCTGTAGCAGGAGCAGAGGCAGGAGAAGGGAGGGGGGAGTTGGTTTGTCAGGGGTACCACTAACAGAAAAGAAACCCGACGTACATTAACAGCAAACAAAAACTTGCACCTGTATTGCGTCAAAAGAATTTGGAAAACTGCACGCACCTTGATACCTCCACCCACCTCGACCCACCTCCAACCACCTCCACCCACCTTGACTCACCTTGACTCACCTCCAACCACCTCCACCCACCTGCACACCGCCACCACGCACCTTGACAGTGAGCGGCACGTCAATTGCAAGCGATGCAGCTCGGACCACCTGCTCCAGCCGCTGTGGCTTGCGCAGGAGAGAGGACCCCGAGCCCTGGGAGGGAAGGAGGTAAGGGGCAGATGGGGGAGAGAGGGGAGCGGGGGGGGGGGGGGGGGGGGGTAAGGGGGTAGGGGGGTACTACCAACGCGTGAGGTGCAAGCGATGCAGCTCGCACCACCTGCTCCAGCCGCTGCGGCTTGCGCAGGAGAGAGGACCCCGAGCCCTGGGAGGGAAGGAGGGGAGGGGGAAAGGATCAACACAGACGTGGGAAGCACTGGCGAGGTGGACTTCACAGCACCACCTGCTCCAAACGGTGCGCCCTGGGAGGGTGGGGGGGAGGATAGGAAGTGGTGTCTCCTGATGTGCTTCTCATGAGGCGAGGGAGGAAGAGGCGGGGGAAGAAGAGGCGAGGGAGGAGATGTGTTGCAGCTGGTAAAGGAAAAGGGGGGTGGAGTGTGACACATATGCGCAGTGTGATAAAGACGCACACTGAGGTGACTTTTGAGTCGACTCAAAAGTCACCTCGTTACTTTGTCACACGACACTTTCGCTTCAAGGAGAGCTATTATCGCGTGGAGGCTGCCGAAGAGAATCGGAAGCGTTTTAGTTTCTGCTCATAAGTGCTAATCTACAGTAGAGTTTTACTGTTTGTTGCTTATTTCGTTTTTTGCGTCCCCATTTTCCCCGCGACGGTTCTCCCACGCGAGGCGAATCTTGGGCGACATCTTCTTGGCCTATAAGTAGTGCTTGTTTTCCTTAGGACTCTGTGGTCTGAAGAAGGCTTCAAGCCGAAACCGGTTACCACCTATTTTTTAATTCCAAGAGTTTGTTTTTACAAGCACTCTACATTTTACACAGGTGTCATCACGCAAGTTGCTGCCACGTATTCACACAATGGCACCTATCTGGTGTTCAATTGGACAGGGGGATGGAGTGTGATAAAGACGCACACTGAGACAGGGGGATGGAGTGTGATAAAGACGCACACTGAGACAGAGGGGTGGAGTGTGATAAAGACGCACACTGACAGGGGTGGAAAGCGCTAGTGCAGTGTGCGCTAAAGATAGCAGATATCGAGGGGGCTTACCTTGTTAACCACAATGTCAATCGGGCAGCCAACGTTAAGATCGACAAAATCGACCTGAGGGGAGCAAACAACAGGCGTGGAGTGAGGGGCGTGGAGTGAGAAGGTGCATGATGCAGAGAATCATGGAGGGACCAGTGTTTGGGGGGGCTGTGGCAGGGAGGAGAGAGAGGAGAGAGAAAAGGGGTGGAAGAGGAGAGGAGGAACGAGAGGAGAGCACAGCTTTAACCCGCCCTTCGCTCACTTCCCACCCACCTGGCAGTTTTCAGCCGCCAGCTCAGCAGCCTTGGCGACCATATCCGGGTGCGGCCCGCACAGTTGCATTCCTATCCAACCCCGCCCTCAGTGTAGAACCCCCCGCCCCCCCCGCCCCCCCCGCCCCCCCTGCCCCCCGCCTTCCCCCCCTCTTTTCTTGCTAAAACGCAACTGGCAGTTCTCAGCCACGAGCTCAGCAGCCTTGGCGATCATATCAGGGTGGGGCCCGCACAGCAGCACTCCTATCCAACCCCGCCCTCACACTCTACCCAGCCTCTCCCTAGAAGGACTTTTTTGAGAACGCACCTGGCAGTTCTCCCTAAAAAACTCACTCGCCCTCACACTCTACCCACACTCTCCCTAGAACGCACCTGGCAGTTCTCAGCCACGAGTTCAGCGGCCTTGGCGACCATATCAGGGTGCGGCCCACAGAGCTGCACGCCAAAGCACTTCTCGCTCTCGTGCCGCCTCAGCAGAGCCCACTCCGACGCCTGCCCCTGTAGCAGATTGGCGCACATCGCCATCTCGCCTATAGTCACGTCCGCGCCGAACGAGCAGCACACGCGGCGGAAGGGTAAATTACCCACGGTGGTCAGCGGCGCGACGATCAGTTTACCCTTGAAATCGACGGGCTTTTTCTCTCGGGAGGGGAGACGGAGCTCTTTATCATCCCCCACCTTTGCCTCTTTATCCGTTTCTTGTTCTTTCCCTATGGCCCCTATCCCTTCCTTCACCACCTCTGCTGCTGCCCCTGCTGCTGCTGCTGCAGCCGCCCCCCCAGCTGCTACAGCCGCACCCTTGGCGGCTGTAGCTACTGCTGCTGCTGTCTCTTCAGCGGCTGTAGCCGCAGCTGCTAGTGCGCCCTTCCTCCGCCCCTCCCTGTCAACCTCCCCCATCCCCCCCTCAGCTTCCTCCCCCTCCTCCCCCTCCTCCCCCTCCTCCCCCCCCTCCCCCTCCTCCCCCTCCTCCTCCCCCTCCGCGTTTTCATCTAGATCCGGCATGAGACTCGCCTCGCCTCTGGGCTTCACCTTGCGCTGGCAGGCGACGATGGGGCGGAGGGGGATTGAGAGGAAAGGAAAGCAGCAAGGGAGATGAGGAGAGACGAGAAGAGAAGGCCGGGGTCCGGCACGAGACTCGCCTCGCCTTTAGGCTTCACCTTGCGCTGGCAGGAGACGTAAGCGGGAAGAGGGCGGGGGGAGGGGGAGGGGGGAGAGGGGGAGGGGGGGGAACAAGCAAATGAGAAATGGTGCGGGATGGTATATTAGACGACTAACGGACACATTGTGAAGGAAAGAGCGGTTGGTATCAAACAGGGACGTGACTAAGCCCCAATACCTATCGTGTGACATTGTAACGAGAGAAGAATGACTCTAAAGAGGGGCTGGTATGGAGCACGGAAGAGACTCAGCCCCATAAGCCTCAAACCTCCAAACCCTGCAAGTCGAGTCCCAAACTCTGACGTCCAAATCTCACCGTCCATCCGATCCGTTGAAGCGCATCAACGGCTCTGGGCATGTCCACCTGTCTCTTCCACAGCTTAGACTGCAGTCCCTTATCCAGCATATTGACCTCTCCTGGGTACCTCACCTCACTCCCCTTCTCACCCCCCTTCTCCCCCACCTCCTTCCCCTCTCCCCCTTCAGCATCCTCCCCTTTCTTCCCCGCACCTTCCCCCTCTCCCTTCCCCTTCCCCCCCCCCGCTTCCCCTCCCTCTGCTCCATCTGCGCCGCTTCCTGGAATCTTCCCGTGCTTCTCGTCCCGGAAACGACAAGCCAGGCCGAAAGGACAGGGGCGGCGGAGGGCGGCAAAGGGGCAGGTGCCTTCCAGGGTGGGCGGCAGCTGCGCGCGGATGATCTCTAGGTCGTGGCTGAAGCGACACGTGTCGCCAAACGGACACGAGGCCGGGTCGCCTGTACGCGCTACAGTGTTGCACGGCTGAGTCGCGAGGGCCTGGAGCAAGGGAGGGGCGGGCGAATAAGGGAGGGAGAATAAAGGAGGGAGAATAAAGGAGGGAGAACAAGGGAGGGAGAATAAAGGAGGGAGAACAAGGGAGGGAGAATAAAGGAGGGAGAACAAGGGAGGGAGAATAAAGGAGGGAGAACAAGGGAGGGAGAATAAAGGAGGGAGAACAAGGGAGGGAGAATAAAGGAGGGAGAACAAGGGAGGGAGAATAAAGGAGGGAGAACAAGGGAGGGAGAATAAAGGAGGGAGAACAAGGGAGGGAGAATAAAGGAGGGAGAACAAGGGAGGGAGAATAAAGGAGGGAGAACAAGGGAGGGAGAATAAAGGAGGGAGAACAAGGGAAGGAGAATAAAGGAGGGAGAACAAGGGAGGGAGAATCGGGGAGGGAGGCGAGAGGGGAGAAAACGAGAGGACGGAAGCTAGACGGTGGAAGGGTTTCGGCGGAAGAGGGAGGAGGGAAGTGATAGAAGGCGGGGAAACGGGAGAAACGGGGGAATACGGCGGAATACGGCGGAATACGGCGGAATACGGCGGAATACGGCGGAATACGGCGGAATACGGCGGAATACGGGGAAGACAGGGGCAAGACAGGGGCAAGACGGGGGGAGACGGGGGAATACGGGGAAGATGGGGAGATGTGACGGAATGAACAGCTCTATGCGCATCCGGAACGAAAGCCCCCCACCTGCTTCCGCTGCTTCTTCAGCGCGCGGTGACTCAGCCTCTGCTCCGCCTTCCCCTTTTCCGCCTTCCCCTTTCCGCCTTCTCCCCCCTGCCCCTCCCCGCCCTCTTTCGCTTCCCCCGCCTTCCCCGTTTCGCCCGCCGCGGCCAATCCCTTTCTGCCACCTGGCGGCATCAGGTACTCCTTCTTAATCGGCGCACGCCCGCGCGCCGCTTGCTCTTCCGCCGTCCCCCAATCGCGCGCCTGAACCTCCCCGTTAATAGCCTGAAGGGGGGAGGGAGGGGAGGGGGGGGATTGAGGAGGGGAGATGGGAAGGAGGGTTGGAGGGGGAGATAGGGGGAGGCAACGGTGGAATTACAGGGTTTCGCCCTTCCGGGGAATTCGCCGTTCCGCAATCCTCAAATTGCGCGCCCGGGGGGGGGGGGAGTGCGGGGGTGGGGGGTGTTGGAGGGTTGGGAGGGGGGAGACATAGAGAAAAGCAAACCAGAAACAAAAAAAACGGGACCACAGTTGGAGAGGCTTCGCGCCAATACGGGAAATGGCGGACAGCACGAGCCTTCTAGCGCGACTAGGAAAACGCGGGGGGGACTAGGCCGTGAGTTAGAAACTAATTGGAGGAAGCTAACTGCCCGGAAAGACGATATGCTCAGCCCGGAAAGAGTACCCGCTGACGATATGCTCAGCCCGGAAAGAGTACCCGCTGACGATATGCTCAGCCCGGAAAGACGAGATGCTCAGCTCAACAAATTGGTCCAACCCTAAACGATTCTGTCTCACCCCTCGATCGACGAACAGCTGAGGAAAGGAGGGAAGAGACCACGGAGCGGAAGCTAGGAGCTCCCTGTCTACCGCCAACACCTGTCGCGAAAATCGACCAGCCATCTCGCGAATAGCTTACCGGATCTTCCGGCGCGGCGCCGCCATTGGCCTGCACGGGCTCTTCCACAGCCGCCATGGCTGGGAAATCCTTGCGCGAGCTGGCCGATAGTCCAGGTAACGACCAGGTAACGAGATCAACGAGCAGAGAAACTAGGGTTGAAACGAGGGTAGCGGGGTGAAACGGGGCGAGGTTTCTGTGGGGCTTAGTTTAGGGCTTGTCGAGATCAAGAGAGGGGAGGAGCAGCCGAAGAGGCTCGGGTGGGTTGCGCTTGGGGGTGCTCCGCTACAAGGGTTACTTCGTCTGTAGTGCTTTCATCTCCCTCCCAACGTATTTCTCACCTTTTATCAGTGCAAATTGGGTGAATGCCAAAAAATCCCCAATATACTGTCGAATGGAAACGCGTAAATTTAAAATTGCTTCGCTGAGCCAAATGAAACAGTGATGGTCTTATTGGTATAATCTTACCTTCTAGCAGACTAGGATGAATCTTCCTCCAAATTCTGAGGGGAAAATATCCTCGATAATGTCTCGTCTCATGGTTTGGTCCCAAATTTTAGTACCCACCTGTCCGCCATTGTTTCATTCTGCGCTTGGAGAATTGAGTAGCTTCTTGGACAATCCTTCTCCGACAATGGCGCTCTGCCCGCCTGCACCCACCACGTGTCACGCAACTCAAACGATACTAACGTTGAGGTCGCCCCAGCCGCCATCTACCACTCGCAGCGCATTATCCCTCGATAACCCCTCCTTAACTTCCCCGCAGAGTCCAAGCTTTCGCCGATTTCGCCAGTTTCGCCACTTCCGCTCAGATTCGCCGGTGGAACCCTGCCAGTGGCTCAGAGACTATCCGCCACAAAGGGACGGGTGCAGATTCTTGGGAAGCCGGTGGGCTGTTGCTGTAGCGACGAGTGCGAGCCAATCGGACGCTGCCACGCCAGTAGTTTCCGAGGCTAGTAGCAGTGAGTGGCCGGGGGAAAACGGATACAGCTAGGCCCATAATGGACTACTTTTTAGGCGCCTCAAAAATGGACTTGCGGAATGCGCGAAAGGATGAGGAGATCGTTCGGACTTTGTCCTTGTACGCAGAATGTGCTTACGTACGGATACAACTACGTCCACAGGCTTGCGGAATGCTCAGTCGACTTGGACGAGTTTCATTCTTCCCAAATTTCTCTGGGGCAAACCTCATTCCGCCATAGGGCTGACCTCATCCCTTACATTTCATAAGCCCTTGCGCCTTCCGCCCTCCATTCCGCCCATCGCTCCTCCTCCTTCGCCCCTATTGCCTCCTCTCTTCCCCATGTCCTTGCCTCCATTCTCCTTTTTGCCTCCATTCTCCTTTTTTCCTCCCCCCCTCCCCCCCGCTCCTCTCATCACATCCCTGCTTCGCCAGAGCCTGCTTCTGCGTTTATCGGGTTACACCATGTGGGGATACTGTGCGAGGATTTGGATAAGGCGTTGGACTTCTACTGCGGCGTGCTCGGTGAGTGGGGTGGGGCCGTGAGTGGGGTGGGGCAGTGAGTGTGGTGAGGCAGTGAGTGGGGTGGGGCAGTGAGTGGGGTGGGGCAGCGAGTGTGGTGGGGCAGTGAGTAGGGTGGGGCAGTGAGTGGGGTGGGGCAGTGAGTGGGGTGGGGCAGTGAGTGGGGTGGGGCAGCGAGTGTGGTGGCGCAGTGAGGGTGGAGGGAGAGTAAGTGTGGTGGGGCAGTGAGAGTAGTGGGGCAGTGAGCGTGGTGGGGAAGAGAGTGTGGTGAGACAGTAAGTGTGGTGGGGCAGAGCAGAGTGGAATGAAGAGCAGTGCCATCCTCTGTAGCGGATTGAGAGACAACGGTTGTACCCTCTCTCCCCTACCACAGCTTCTCGACTCGAATCACTCTGACCTACCGCATGTCTTTCATGCTCCGTCACCCCTTCATATCCACCCCTCTCCTCAAACCCACTCCCAGGTCTTGAGGTGAATGACTCGCGACCCAATCAGAAGCTGCCATATGGCGGCAAGTGGCTCTGGATTGGCCAAGGGGAGGGCAGCAGGGGCGGCATGATCCACCTCATGGTGCTGCCCAATCCTGATCCGACATCTGGCAGACCGGAGCATGGAGGCCGGGACCGCCACACGTGCATTGAGGTTGCTGACGTGGCGCCGCTACAGGCTGCCCTGGATAGAGCAGGTGATGATGTGGCATGACGTGGCATGGCATGGTATGCATAAAATGAGGGCGTAATGGAGCTGTGGGATGGAATGGGATGGTGTAAATTGGGAAGGGATGAAATGAAACACAGTGGTCAGCATGGTTTACAAAGGGATACTATGCTTCCATTGTGTGTTGTTAACAGTAGGGTGGTGTCGTGTCGTGTCGCCCCCCTTGTGGTACGTAGCTTTCGAGGTCCTAACCCGCATTGTCATGAATTTCTCCCTCCTCTCCATGCCGATTGTGATTGGAATGCAGGGATTCCTTACACTATGAGCCAGTCTGGTCGGCCAGCTGTGTTTTGCCGTGATCCCGATGGGAATGCCTTGGAGTTTGCACAGTTTTGATTACGAACGTTGAAGTTGTGCAGTGAAAATCTCATTTTTGGCCTCCAGTGGTTCTTCAACACTTCTTCCTACCTAGCCCTGCCTACCCAGTGAGCCTGTACCGTGGGAACCCATGATTTCATCCTCATGAACCTATACGTGCCTTACTCGTCCGTCAACCTCAATCCATGCCTTGAATATTTAATACATCCATTTTAACACTTCTCCGATTGAAACTTTACTGTATGTGCACTCATAATTGTACTTCTTTTTGCAAGTCAGCCTCCACCAACTTTGTAAGCCCAATGAGGCTTGGGGAAGGTTCCCAAGGTTCGCGCTTCGCACCGAACTTGAGCTGAAGTGACTGTTTTGAATCCCTCTTTATTGGGAAGTAGATCCACGGCCAGGAAATTGTTCGGAGATCCACGTGGCGGAGCCTGTTTGTCTCTGTTGGGAGACATGAAGGTTAGTGGTTGCTTGGGAACTAGGTTTGCGGGGTGCAGAACCTAAAAGGCTGCTATCCCGAGCCAAAAGTTGACGCTCGGCCAAAATCACACCACCGCGCCGCAATTGGCCTCATCGAGCCCTGGATTTACCTATCGCGATTCGGTACCCTGGGCCCCGGGGGGCAGAATCCAACGCCACGGGGATGGTTTGATGGTGCCTGCAAATAGGGAAGTCGGTGCCCGAAATCGCGTCGCATTCCACGCAATGCAAATTCGCCCTTCTGCCAGCCAGCCTCGCCTCACCCCCAGCCTTATTCAAGTCCGCCAGCATGCAATGCAAATTCGCCTCTCCTGCACCACCCACCCTTCTTCCTTTTCCCATTGGCACCCACTCTGCTGTGCTCACCTTTCATTTCATCCAGAGCTGTACTGCGGGTTCCTTCCGCAGTACCTACTACCTGCGCTTTTCGTTCGATCGAGCATCGCGCTTCTGCCGCCCCTTCTCCTCCCTTGTTTCCCCACCATCTCTGGTCGGCTCCTCCTCACAAATTCATTCAGGCGTCTTCTCGATCGACAACACCAACCTCTCTAGAGGCAGGGACAACGTGATCATTGAGCAATATACCACCCAGAGTCGTAGACGACTCCCCAACCATATAGCCTTCCTACACCGTTCAAGAGGAGTCTCTGACGGAGGAGATTAGAACCTTTTAGAATCTATCTGCTACGAATTAGAGAAGATCAAGTTTGTTCGTCCTTTAACTCTTGAACCTTCACGACGATGATCGGCTTATCTCGCCAGGCCGCGCCATTAGTCCAGAGATGGCGAGCGCAAAACGGCTTCTATAATCCCCTCATTCATCCCTTGACTGCCAGCTCCGTTCTGATTCTCTTGCTCCTCGCGTCGTTGCATTCAGCGACCGCATGGCATGCCATGCAATTGCCGCTCAACATGTCCATGTCGACGAGGGCGAACCGAGGGTCTGGTCCCGCTGACGCGCTCAGGCGGGCTTTCGAAGAGAAAAAACTGTCGTTCGCACGCGAGATGGACGCTTCGGCGACGTCGCACGGTGACTGGGCTAGCGACGCAGCAGCGGCGTTCGGAGAGGGCTATTCGACTGTTCCGCGTGGTGCGGCGGAGGGGAATGAAACAGCATCCGCGCAAGCCCGTAGGTCGATGCGGCTGGTGCGGGGTAAACGCGGCTGCAGCCTTACAACGGGGACGTGGGTGCTCGATAGTAACCGACCCGCGTACGACGAGCAGACGTGCCCACATCTCAAGGTGTGTAGATTGTTGAGTCGATTCAAAGTTCGACCCACGTACGATGAACATACATGCCCACATCTCAAGGTGTGTAGATTGGGCTCCGAGTAACCTATGCCGGTATTTGAGGCGCCTAAAAAATGGACGTGGGTGCTCGATAATAACCGACCCGTGTACGACGAGCAGACATGTCCACATCTCAAGGTGCGTAGGTTGCGCTCCGAGTATCCCATGCCGGTTGTGAGCTCCGGTTTGCATACCACCGAGCTGTTGCAATCACACTCGCAACGAATCAAACCCCCACCCATCGCCGCCCATCGCCGCCCTTTGCCGCCCTTCGCCGCCCCTCCTCTCTTTCCCTGTGATATTATGGCAGGAGGTCGCGACGACCACGAATTGCTTGGGCTCGCGCTACTCACGGCCCAACAGCGACTGGATGGTGAGTCAAAGTCAACGCGGTTCAGTTCGAGTCAACTCAGATATAGGTTGTAGACAGCCGGTTCAACCGATTTCGGCCGCGTAAAACCGAGTCAACGCATAATCAGTCAGTGAGTCGACGCAGCAAGAGTGGCCAGTCCCGTCGCAAAGGCGTCGACAGCTTGTCTTACCTGTCTCGAGACAACAGCGTATCGAGAAAGGTCTGCGCTGCCATGCAAGGTCCGCCAGTGGCCGTTCAGAGAGGTGCCAGGGTACCGTCTCGCAACACGGGGTACCGTTTTTGCTGTGCCGCAATTCGGTCCCCCGTGTCAACAGCATCACCCTTTGAGCATATCTTGTGTCAACGACACGGCCCTTCGATCCTATCCCGTGCCAACGACATGGCCCTTTTCTGTCTCATGCCACCGATATCTCCCCTTTCCCGTGCTGACGATATCTCCCCTTTCCCGTGCTGACGATATCTCCCCTTTCCCGTGCTGACGATATCTCCCCTTTCCCGTGCTGACGATATCTCCCCTTTCCCGTGCTGACGATATCTCCCCTTTCCCGTGCTGACGATATCTCCCCTTTCCCGTGCTGACGATATCTCCCCTTTCCCGTGCTGACGATATCTCCCCTTTCTACCCCGTGCTGATGACATTCCCCCCCCCTCCCCCTCCCCCAGGGATATTCTTGGAGGGCCAACGAGTGCGGCGCACAGCCCCTCCGATTCGACGCGCGCAACTTTCTCGAGAAGATGCGAAACAAGTGAGCCTCAGTCCCCCGCTATCGCCCACGTTCTCGTCAACGGCTTGCACGTAAAAAAAAAATAAAAAAAAATATATATATATATAATCGTACAGCTGTGGCGTGCAGCTTTTAAAAATAAGAATCGTAATTCCATATTTTAAAAAAGTGACCTGTGCCGCTGCACCCCGTCCCCGTTACAGGAACATTCTCTTCGCGGGAGACTCGCTAATGTGGGAGGGCTTCTTCCCGGCGTTCCTGTGCCAGGTGCACCGCGCGTCGCCCGCGCGCAAGGTCAGCTACGACAGCCGGTTCAAGCAGACCACGTGGGTGGTGGACGAATTCGCTGTCACGCTCATCCACGTGTGGAGCCCCTTCCTCATGGACTTCAGCACGGACTCCAAGGTACGGACTTCGAGGGTTTGACCTCAGCGCATATTCTGAGTGACTGGGCCTGGACTCCGGACTTGCCACGAGTATTTTGAGCTGACTCAAACTGAAAATACACCTGTCCAAGGTACGGTCTTCGAGGTACGGTTTTCAAGGTACGGTTTTCGACCTCAGCATATGCTGAGGTCGAAAACCGTATAGACCCAGTCACTCAGGCTATATGCTGAGGTACGGTTTTCGGTCCGAGTGACTGGGTCTGGACTGGACTCCGGAATTGCCACGAGCAAGGGCAGCTTAGACAGCCAAGCAGACCACGTGGGTGGTGGACGAATACGGAGTCACAGACGCTAACATAGGATTAAAATGGAAATGCCCATTCTCAGTGCACCACGTTACACGCTCTGTTGCTCCCTCGCTTCTTCCCTCGCCTCTATTGCTAAGCTCCCCCTCCTCTATCCCCCCCTTCCCCCTCCCCCCCTCATCCCCTTTTCCCCTCCCACTTTCCTCCGTTGAACCTCTACTTCCCCCCACTCTTCCCCTCTCTCATCCAGGTTCTGAAAAGGCTCAAGATCCAGAACCCGGCACTGGGCGACACCGCAGTGAACCTCTTTCAACCGGACCCCAACTGGACGCTGCTGCTGCCGCACGTGCACCTGGTGCTGCTGCAGTCTGCCACCCACTGGCCGAATGCAGACAAATGGCTCCGCCGCTTCTTCACCAGCCGCAAGTGGCAGATGCTAGACCCCCAGCCCAACACGTTCGACGCGTACACGTGAGTGTGTACCTGTAATGGGGATGGTAGTATGGGGTATTAATCAGGGAGATGAGGGAGGGTAGTCTGGGTTTTTCATCACCCGCAAGTGGCAGATGCTGGAACCCGAAACCCTGAACATGTTTGGCACTTACACGTGACTTCGTGCTTGTAGACCAGACGCTAGTAAGAAGTATGCAGTACTTGTAATCGAGAAGTTTGATGCACCACGTTTAACATTTTGTTCTTTGCCTTCCCTTACCCCTCTCTTTCTTCGCCTCTCCCCTTACCCTTCGTTTGCTCGCCTCCCCTCGCCTCCCCCCCCCTCGCCTCGCCTCCCTATTCCAGGGATGTCATGAACGCCGTGCGGCAGCGGCTGAGCCGCAAGCCCTCCAGCTTCCCCTTACCCTCACATTTTCCCCTTACCCTTCCCTTGCCCTCTCCTCACCCTCGCCTCGCCTCGCCTCGCCCTTCCAGGGGTGCCATGAACGCGGTTCGCCAGCGTCTGAGCCGCAAGCCCTCCAGGCGTGGCGGTCGCTACGTGGCATACTTTCTCTCTGCTCCTCCCCGCCTGGCCGGCTGCCAGAACACCGTCAAAATCAGCCCCCCCGACCATGTATGTAAATGTGTTTTATGCAAGCCTATATGTGCTATGGGTGTGCATGCTACGCAGTTTACTTCCTCTCTGTCCCTCCGCGCTGGTCAGATGCCAGAACTCTGTCCCCTTACCTGTTCTCCCCCTTCCCATCTTCCCATCCCCTCACGTGTTCTCCCCCTTCTCATCTACCCACCCCATTACCTGTTCTCAGGCTTCCAGGTGGCCTACCTGCGCTCCAAGAACGCCCAAAGCAAGATCTGATTCTGCACGCAGAAGCAGATATTCGGGTGCAGGAACTTGCGGGTTCGATTCCTGGACATCACACCCCATCTCCCCTGCTTCCTTCTCCCTTCTTCCCCTTCCGCTCCCCCCCTATGCCCGATCCCCTGCTTGTTCTTGCCGTTGTACCCAGGTGGCCTACCTGCGCTCCAAGAACGCCCAGAGCAAGATCTGGTTCCGCACGCAGAAGCAGATATTCGGCCGCAAGCAGTCGCGGGTTCGATTCCTGGACATCACACATCCGTCTCTCGCACGTGCCGACGCCATGATTGGGTCGCAGGGCACGGCCAGCCAGGACTGCCTCCACCCATGCCTGCCCGGGCTGCCGGACAATTGGGTGGATTTTTTCTATGCGGCTTGGCTGGGAGACAAAGGCTTTTGATTACTGTAGCTAATTATGTGTAGTTAGAAAATGAACGTCTAGCATGCATGGAAAGAGACGAGTATGAGTAATAAACATGAATATATGTTCGTTGTACCTACATCAGTCTCTTTCTGTAGTTATCAGAACACGCCTCTAAGCTCTGGAGCCCAAACCGCATCCTGATTTCTAACTGCAACCTCATTCGCTAGACAGCTTTCGGCAGCACCCTGATTCCTACACGCGGAGGAATCCTCCCTCGAGCTCGTCTGCTTTTCGCCAACGCCCTAACATAACCCGGACTCATTTCCCTCGCCAGCTCTGGCGTCCAATGGCTTTGATCCGTCGCTGAATTTCGCACGAGCGGCTGATCCGCGTTCTCTGACGACTGAAGAACGAACAATTTGCTGCTTTCGTCATCCTCTGCTGCAGTCGCCATTACCCAGCTGTCTCCGATGCTGCTGCTGCTGGTTTTGTCACTACTGCTGCTGCTGCTGCTGCTGCTGGTGTTCATGACACTGGCTACAGAAGCTGGATTTGTCGAAGACTTGCCCGGCTTAAACTTGTACGTGAGGATGCTTGTAATGGGTTTGTCCGCTGGCCTGTCGATGTTGAAAAGATTCATGTACGAGTTGAAATTCACCTTTCTCGGGCCGCCCCGCTTCGTCGGGCAGCTCCGAAAACCCGGGAACGCCTTCCTGATGGGCGATGCCTTGGTCAGCGAGAAATCCAGCCCCTTGGCGTTCGTGAACCCTGCTTTCGCCAGCGACGTCGCGAAGTACCGCAGCGTGTTGAGCTTGGGAACAGCCGGGAACGGCTTGCAGTTATCCTGGTAGAATACCCACTTGGTGGATCCGTCAGTCATTGCCGAGACGATTTCCGCGTAGTTTTCGGTGGGTAGGCCCGAGCAGCGGCCAGTGACGGCTGCGCCGTACTGGCTGGTGGTGCCGAGGTTGCAGTTGATGTTGTGCAGCGCGGTCTTGGCGCAGAAATTGGTGAGGTAGGGGAAGAACTGGGGGGATGGGTGGGGGCAGGAGAAGGGGAGAAGAGAGGGAAGGAGAGGGGGCACATGAGTCATAATCTTAAACGAGCCGAGGTTGCAGTTTATGATCGGAAGAGCAATCTTGGTGCAGAAATTAGTGAGGTAGGGGAAGAAGTGGGAGGGGAAAGGGGAGGCAGGAGGTAGGAGGGAGGGAAGGAGGGAGGGAAGGAGGGAGGGAGATACCTTTTTATCCCCAGAGCCTGGTGGCTGTTTTGGCTTGTCACACTTTTCTCGCCCTAGTTCCCCCTAAGCCTGAAGCCTGTAGTCCCAATCCTCACCTTTTTTATTCCCGGGGTCTGGTAACTCTTGAGCAGCTCGGCGTTCCACTTCTGCCCGTTGGGTTTGTCGCAGTTGTTCACGTTGTAGTTCTGGCACGAGATGTACCCCACCGAGAACGCCGACGCATCGATCACCACCATGCCCCGCACGTGGTTGCTGTGAGGGGGGTGGGCGGAAGGGAGTGGGGGGGGGTGGGTGGGAAGGGGTACTGAGTCAATCAACAACATGGGGTGTTCACGTTAAAGGTTTGGCACGAGATGTACCCCACCGAGAACGCCGACGCGTCGATCACCACCATGCCCTGCACGTGGTTGCTGTGGGGGAGAAGGTGGGGGGAGAAGGGAGGGGAAGGGAGGGGAAAGGGGGGGGGCTACAGAGTGACTGTTGTAGTTTTGGCATGAGATGTAAGCCGCTGAGAGCGCCGAGGGGCCACTCACCACCATGCCCTGCACCAGGTGGTTGCTGTGAGGGGGTGGGGGAAAGGGAGGGGAAGGTAGAGGGGGAGGGGGAGAAGGAAGGGAGAGGGGGGAGAGGGTGCCTGAGTGAATCAAGAACATTTGGAGTTCACATTGTACTTCTGACATGTGTGTACCCGAGCATTGACCAGCGTTGACTCACTTTCCCCAAGCATCGACCAGCGTTGACTCATCCATCCACCCAGCGTTGACCAGCGTTAGACTCACTATTTCCCGGTGTTGAGCTTAAGCCCGTCCGCCGTTTTGTCGCACACGAGCCCGTCCACGATCACGCCGGACGACACCCAGTCCAGGTACAGGCAGTGCTCGCCGCGCCGCACGTAATTACACCGCAGGATATTCCCGGGGTTCACCCAATGTGTGTCCACGTAGATCCCCGCCGCGTCGCCGTTCGTGCCGAACGTGTGGACCATGTTGTTCCGCATCACGTTATTCAGCATCGCGTCGCCCACGTTCGACTGCCCGAATCCGATCTGCAGGCTCGCGAGCTTAAACTCCGACATCCGGTTATTATTCACGTTCACGCCGACCGCGTTTCGGTACAGCATCAGCCCGATCTCCGCGCCGGTTCCGGGCTTCCCCAGCGCGACCATGTTGTTGTTCGTTATAAGCACGTTGCTGCGGATCAGGTTCGGCCCGTCGCCCGATAGCATCACGACGATCGCGCCAGGGTAGTCCAACGGATGGACGTTAACGGTCATGGAGTCGATGCGCGTGTGCGCCGCGCGAGAGACCTCGATCCGGCCGTACGTTCGCCCTTGCGTTACCTGCACGGCCCATACGCGGTATAGCCAGATCGCGGGGCATTTCCACTTGCCGATGAAGTCGAGATAGCGGGTTTCGAGGTATTGGCAATCGGGGTTGGAAGCCAGGGGTACGAACCCCTGCACGTTGATGCCGTTAACGAGGATGTTGCTGGCGAAGACAATTCGCATGGGAGGGTAACTGATGGGAACGAGGGGATAGACGGGCGAGAAGAACGGACCGGGGTTAGGAGTGTAACTTGTTCATACTAGCGGATTTAGGCCAAGAGGCCTAACAATAGTGTACTCTATGGTGTTAGGTTGGCCAAATAATTCTGAGCATTTTGATCCTTTCGAAGCGTGGGCTTTAAAGTCAGGCAACTCACTTCTTGTCCGTGGCCGAGAGGGTGTATTTTTTGGTGCCCTTGGATCGCAGAACGGTGCAGTTGAACTTGCCGTCCAGCACCAGGGGGGCTTTCAGCTTGATGTCCGCTGTGAGGAACATGCGCACTAGCTGCGGAAAAAAAGGGGAGAGGGGTGGGAGAGGGGGGAAGGGGGGAGCAGGAGGGGGGAGAGAGAGGAGTGGAGGGGTAAGAAGGGGGAGGGTTGGGGCGCGGATGGCGACAAGCGGAACGACCAGAACAAGCGGCTGAGCTTGCCGTCCAGCGGATTTTTCAGCGTGATGTCCCCCCTGTGAGGAACATGCGCGCCAGCAGTTTGGGGAGAGTGGCGGTAGTGTGGGGGAGGAAGAGAGACAGCTGAACATCCCAAGCACGCGGCACGGCTTTCCTTCCCGCACAAGGGGATTCGTGAGCGTGAAGCTTTTGAGAATTCTAAGATTTTGCTGGGTGCTTTTAAATGTCTCAAAAACATCCTTTCCTTCCAGCACCAGGGGATTCGTGCGCGCGATGTACGGTGCGAGAAACATGCGCACGAGCTGAGGGGAGAAGCGGCGGGAATGGGCGGGGGGGGGAGATGGGGGGAGGGATGGGGCGGGGATGCGGGGGGATATGGGGGAATGGGGCGACGCCGAGATATTCGACGGGATGGGGGGGGAGGGGGGAGGTGGGAGGGGACAGGGCGGATTGTTTGAAGGAGCCGAGTTTATGACGGCACTTGAGCTAAAGGATCTGGTTCGCGAGGCGAAGAAGAACGGGAGTTACTGGGTAATTCGTTCGTTACGCAAATCGCACCTGAGTGGCGGGGTACTTGGCTCGCTTGGCGAAATCGCCCTCTACTGCGATGTTGATTTCGGGAACTGGGTTGCTCACTGTGCATGGTCCAGCGATCACTGATGAGGAAGAGGGGACAAGGCGAGGAGGGAGTTGTGGGCGGGTGGGAGTTGGGTAAGTGAAGGTATATGCGACGAACACGGCTTGTAGCCGTGGCCGTTCGTTGTGGGGTCTTCATCATGCGCTATGGCGGGCCTTTATTAGTGTCCCGGGATGCTGTGTCTGTCGGTTCTAGGCTAGCATGATCCCTTCTTCTCGTGCTCATGAACAACTGATAACGAGGATCTCTAAAGCGAGGTTTTACATGATTCAATTTCGTGAGGCTGAAGAGGACGGAAAGGGCGGAGCGGGCAAGGGAGACAGGCCACAAGAAAGTCACCTCTTGCAGCGAGGCCGTACCTTGTCGCACGGCGGCGGAGAGAAAGAGAACAGAAAGGGCGGAGAGTGCGAGGAGCCGAGCGACGTGGGACGCCATGGCGACCCTCGGACGCAGTGACGACGACTCTCGGCGATGCGACCGCGTGCCTCCGTCTCGCACGCCGCACGGTATTTCAGCACTAGGTTCAAAAGGTTACTCTCTTCGGAAGGCGGAAGTATCACTTTGAGTCAAAGGCGTAATCGGCTACTCGTAGAAGATTGGAAAAGGGTACACTTAGTGGACAGCAGGTGGTGAGCGCGAGGTAAGCACTACGCAACAGCAGAAAAAAGAAGAGCCTCGGAAGAAAAGTAATATTCGTGTGTGGATGTGAAGCGGACTTTGGCGCAATGGCGGAGGTAGTTCGCGACGAGGAGGTAACAGAGATGACAGGAAGCATGCGTTCGGTGCAGCCTACTCTTTTGGCGATGTTGAGATCACAGTGCGGGACCAGGAGCTGGTGGTGCCAGATTTCGTCTGAGAGCAAAACAGTACGTATTACTAGATGGTTCCGAACGGTGGACGAAAGTTTATAAACGGTTTTGATGTTCAGTGATATGGAGGTGGGAGTGTGGGGGGTGATGCAACAGTGAATGAGAGAAACTGCATGTGATTCGCTTGGCGTGGGCGACATTTGGGCGTCCAAGGCTTCTTTCATCTCTGTGGTTTGGTTGGGGTAGGTGGCCGTTGAGACTGGCGACTGCAACGTCGAGACAGCGATATTCGCGAGATTCTCCATCTTTTCGGCAGCGTCGTGAATCTTCGCACCCTGCTGCGACTGGTTGAGCGGCGCACCCATTCTGGCGGCGAACAAGCCCGCTCGGTTCCTTGCTGGGACAGTGAGGCAGGGGCTTTCGCGATGATTCGGACCGCGAGGAGCCTGACGCGCGCGGCGCGGTGCAGTCACCAGATTCGTGCCGCGGAGGGGGGGAGCTGGATGGCTTGGGGGGGTTTACCCCTGCGCAACGCAAGCGCGGTTTGAGACCGCTTTCGCCCCATCACCGTCAACAAGCTGTCATGGAAAGGGGGAGGCCCCTCCCGCTACCGTCCATCCCATACAATCTTTACCGTCCCGTACGACGGCGAAACCACGGCGAACGGCGCGGATGGCCCGTGGTTCCCACGTTGCGAAAGCGGAGTTCGGCAGCGTTCGGAGCTGCGCCGACAAATCCGGTTACGACAGAAAGTCGCTCCACATGTGGACAATCGTGCGGTGCTTCTTTTTGGGGAAGGTTCAACTATCAGGTCCCAACCTTCCATTCAGGTCAGAGGTTTCTCGAAGGATACAGAACATGAATGGACAAAATATGTTGAACACCAACTTTCTGGGGCTAGACGCCGCAACCGAAACGGACTCCCAGTAAAGAAAGAAGCACTCTCGATGACACTATTTAGGGACCCAAATGACACCCCTAATGACTCGGTTTTCAACCAAAACAAGTGGAGTTGCCACCTTTGACGAGGTCAACCCAAACTGCACGTTGGCCTCTGTTGGACGACCAACCTGAACCGAGCGACAGTTCTGAGCTAGGGGTGGATACTTAATATGAACCAACTCAGCGAAGGAACTTTGGTGGCCTCGATGGTCATAACCAGGGCTGATTTTATCAAACAATTTAGTCTTATTGTCTGAAATTTCATACCAATTTGTTTGGCCGATCCTGATTTTTCATACTTGACATTTTCTGAATGCCGAACCCTTCAGAGTTATATGTTTTTGAATCCTGAGAATCTCAAACCTCGCAGTTTGCGTATACTGAGCTTTTAGAGCGCAGCGCGTACAGACCCTGGGAAGCATACTGCACCTACCTGCCCTCAACCCAAAATTTTTGGCTAAGTCCTTGACCCCCAGGGTCAAGTCCGCTCACACACCCTGCAACCTATAAAATTCGGCAAAGTCCTAGCAGCCAGAGACAGACCCTCAGCACACCCAGCAACCCATAAATTTTGTTGAAGTCCTTTTGTAGAGACACCCCTCTCACTCCCCCAACAACCCACGAAAATCGGCTATGTCAATTTCTAGAGAAATTCTTCCCACAACCCTTTCGCGTAGATTTTTTCGCGAAGTTCTGTCAGAGGCTGACACAATCCCCTCAACAACCAATCACACACTTGCAAGGACTGGTCGCAGACAGACTCGTGCTCTACAACTTCGACCTTGTGACACGTCACAACAAGCTGGGCCTCGGCATTTTGCAGCCCGAGCACCTCGGAATACGCGCGCTAATCCTCCACGCATGAAAGATTGTTATGTGACAAAATGAGCATGCCCCCACGAAGTTTTTCACGATCTCGTCTTCATGCTTGCACGCTCGGGTGGTGGATTGAGCCACATCAGATTTTGAAAGGGTTATCGCGGGTACAGGCTCTGTCAATCTAGTCACTTGGGTGCAGTGTCTCAGATTTCATACTAGAAAGGCATGAAAAACTGATTCCTTGGTGTTTTTTAAGGCATAGCCTGACTTTGGCCAGCATTCGATTTTGGCCAAACCTGAAAATTTTGTGTTCCCAGTTTCGTAAGCCTAAAAAAGCGTGTGTTCCTGTTTAGCTAGGCCTGAACAATCAGCCTCTAGCGAATTTTAGTCTGAAACAGAAGAACCCTGCCCCGTCGGCTCATTAGCGACCTGCCGACCTGTTAGCGTCCCGTCGGTCCCGTGCGCTTTTCTGGCCCTGCTCGTCCCGCCCGCCCGTTATCGCCCCGCCAGCCAGTTCGCGCCCTACCGGCCCCGTTAGTGCCCCGACGGTCCCGTGCACCCCTCTGGCCCAGCTCGCCCCGCCGGCCAGTTAACGCCACAGCCGGCCCCGTTGGCGCCCTACCGACCCCTCTGACTAGCCTTGTAGATTCTCTTCCAGTGGTCAGACTAGTCGTGCCGCCCTGGTTTGCTCTTGTCTTGTTTGTACTCTTGCTGACTGGTCTTACAGACCCTTTCCTCAGAGGCTGGACTAGTAGTGCCACCCTGAGCTGTGTGTCGAATTCCAGGCACTGCCCCTAATTTGGCCTAGGGGGTGTATGTCAAACATATCCTTGTATGTTGTTATAGACTACAAAGGGTTAGAGAGTACAACGCACTAGGTAATATTCTCTTGTATGCCATGGTTCTATTCATTCGTTAACTTTGATATGGTATCATGCGTAGGCTAGTACCAGCTCCGAGTGACGGGCGGTGCTAGTACCAGCTCGCGGCCCCACTTGCGCACGCTAGACGCGACCGGGCGTGCTGCCTGTACTGAGCCCCAGCTTCGTGTGTTCAAGCCCCCCATTTGCTCTACCCTCTACCTGCTTGCCATTCGCCCCCCTGACCGCCTTGATACCACCCGCGATCACTTTCTTAGTCTCCACCCCGCTGACCTCACCCTCACTGACTTTGTCGACACCCTGTCTGCCATAGAGACTCGCCAGCACTCTATCGCCCAATCTAGCGGTACTATGTCGGTCACTATCTTTCAGGGCTATGCCCCTGCCCAGTGCACATACACTGATGGTTCTGCTGCTGCTGCTGAGACAGCCCCTGCTGTGGAAATAGTCGCCTCAGCTGCTGCAGCGCAGTTTCATCCGGGTAAGGGTCGTCGCCTCAAGGCTGGGCGTGGCGGAGGTAGCGGAGGAGGGGGTGGAGGCGGTGGTGGAGGTGGTTCGCCCGCTGGTAGTACTGACGAGGGGGCTGGGGCTGGTGCCTTGGAGCAGCAGCAGCAGCGGGTCAGCCGTCTCCCGCCCGGGTGGCCTGGCGCAGGTGGTGGAGGTGGTCGCAGTGGTCGTGCACGCAACGTGATGTCGGGTGGTGGTCCGAGTGACGGGCGGTGCTAGTACCAGCTCCAGACCGGTCCTCGTCGCGGCCTATTGTGCGGTAAGCTCGGCCATACCACCCTTCGTTGTTTCAGTCGCATAGACGACCTGTTTCGTCTCCGCTTCGGCCCTGCGCCAGACCTCCCCGATTGGCATAGTCTGCTCCGCCGTGATGTTAGGATCTTTTATATGGACATGGACGAGATTAGCTCTGCTTTGTATGTGTTGTATGTCAATTACTCATGTGTGACTGGTTCCTATTACCCCTTGTTTCCTAGTGTAGGTGTGCCTAGTTCAGGCTCCCCTACGGCGTTACGAGTAGGATCCCCTACTTTGCTTAGCCTTGGCTCCACCCTCGCTTCTCCGACCCCTGCTGCCACTGCCGCACTCTCCTTCACCCTGGACTCGGGCGCGTCCCGTTGCTTCTTTCCGGGACTCCACTACGCTTACGCCGCTTGCCGCTCCCGCCGCAATTGCCCTTGCACACCCTTCCTCAGGTCTTGTAGTCGCCCGTAGCTCCACCACCCTTTCCTGTCCGGCGGTACTTTCGGGCTCCCTTACAGACCTGCACATCCCCTCGTTCTCTAGGAACCTAGTTGGTGTCACCACTACATTCCCTGGTCACGAGCGGTACGCTGTCTGTACCGAGGCCGCCACTGGTGCTCCCTTGACCCCGTTCCCCCGGGACCCGGTGTCTGGCCTATTCACGCTGGACACCGCGCCCCCCCCGGTTGGGACGTCTCCCCAGGTGTTTGCGTCTACCCAGGTTGATGCGGCTTACTTGTGTTGGTCGCTTACTCACTCGACGCTTCTGTGGCACCACCGTCTGGGTCACATTACCCTCACACGTCTTCGTCACATGTCTCGGCACTGTCTTCTCTTAGGTCTCCCTGGGTCGTTCCCGCACTACCCTCCTCACCAGCGCCGCCGTGCACGCCCTGCGTCGAGGACCGGCTCCGCAGTGCCCCTCACTCCTCCTCGTCCCCCTCACCACCGCACCGCTGCATACCTTGCACATGGACGTCTGGGGCCCCGCCCACGTCCATGGGCCGCGTCGAGAGCGCTACTTCCTACCACCGTGTTTTCCCTGGAGCGGAAGCCCGACGTGCCTGACATTCTTATTCCGTGGCTTGTCTCTGTGCGTGTTCACCTAGGTCTCCCTGCGTTGCGTCTTCACTCAGACCGTCGTGGCGAGTTCGCCTCTGGCACCCTTGGTCGCTTCTGTCGTGCGGAGGGCATCACCCAGACGTTCACCCTGCCGGACACCCCGCAGCATAATGGGGTCGCTGAGCGACGCATCGGTTTCGTCAAGAAGGTCGCTCGTACCTCCATGATCCACACTGGTGCACCCCATTTTCTCTGGCCGTTCGCTGTTCGCTACGCTGCTCACCAGCTTAACCTATGGCCGCACCCTCAGCAGCCGCAGGTTTCGCCGACCCTCCTCTAGACCGGGTCCGTTAGTGACGCGTCTGCATTCCACGCCTGGGGCAGCCTTGCTCATGTTCGTGCCTCTGGCACGAACAAGCTCACTGCCCGCACCGTCCCATATGTCTTCCTTGGTTTCCCCCTCGATTCGTCTGACTGGAACTTTTACCACCCGCCATCTTACCACTTCTTTTACTCCTGCGACGTCACCTTTGACGAGTCCGTCTCCTTTTACCACCACTTTCCCCACCGTGGTCCCCCGGTTACCCCCCCCTGTTCATGGTTCCCCCTCCTCCGGTTGCCCCGCCCCCCCCCCCTCCCTTCCCTGCCCTGTCTGGTGTGTCTTACGTCACCCCTCTCCCATCGGGTGTCCCTGCCGAAAAGTCTGCTGACTCTCGCGGCTCTGCGGAGTCCCTCCCCCCGCCCCTCCCCGCCCTGCTCTCTTCTCCCCCGTCACCGCCGTTGCAGTCCCCGCCGCAGCCGCCTTCGTCGATGCCGTTGCCACCGCCGCCTCAGCCGCCGTCGTCACCGCCGATGGGGTTCGTGCGTTGTGGGGGTGCTTAGGAGAGTGCACGAGCGAGTTCCCATTCTGGGGGTGCTGGCGTGGAGCTTCTCGGAGGGAGCCGTGCTGTCGCTGGAGGTTCTGGTGTTGGCGTCGGGCAGCAGTCGCAGTAGTCACCGCCGGTGTCTGCTCTTCACCTCCTCGGGCAGTCTACACGACGTGTCTTCCTTCCCCTGACCGCCTGCAGGTGCCTCCTCCATCGCCGCCGCCTCCTCCTCGGCCGGTCTACGGCCTAGTGTTTCCTCTCCCGGACTCCTCTCCGACTCGTTTCCCTCCCCGTTCTCCTCCTGTGTCTCCTCCTTTCTCTCCTGACCTGACTCCTCCGTCTCACATCTGGTCTCGTCGTTCATCTCTTGCTCGTCCTACCTCCCCTGTTAGCAGGCTCACCCTATGTTGCTTCGCTCCCATGCGTCTCGTGCTCCTCTGCTCCTCCCGTCTCCTTCTCCGTCGTCGCTTGCTGTGGCCCCGCCCCCGTTCTCTGACTTCCTCCGCGCTGCGCGTCCCCTTGTTCCTCGTGTCCTTGCCTCTCTTGTTACCGACCCGTCCGTTCCTGTCTCGAGTCTGTCGGCTCTTATCGCTGCTGTCACTAACTTCGCCACTACCCGCCGCCTTGAATATGCCACCGCTCTGGTCTCTGACCCTACCTGCCCTCCGTCTGTCGGGGGTGTGGCTGCCCTTGGCAGTGACGTCCTAGAGGAGAGACAGTACAAGCTTGCTTCAATGTCAGAGGCCGCTCCCCATCTGTGTTCCATGCTGCTAGTTCCTGAGGGTAACCCAGACTCCCTTGATATCCCGATCCCTCGCACCAACGCTGAGGCGACCTCGGGACCCAGGGCCTCTTAGTGGATAGCTGCCATGAAGCACAAGATGGCATCTTGGAGATCCACCGGTACCTTCATTGACGCAGTTCCCCCACCTGGGGTGAACGTATTCGATGGCCGATGGCTCTTCAAGGTGAAGCGCCCTCCTGGAGAGCCGCCTGTCTTCAAGACGCGCTACGTGGCTCGAGGCTTTAGTCAGCATGAGGGGGTGGACTTCTTTCAGACCTTCGCCCCGACCCCGAAAATGACTACTCTTCGGGCAATGCTACACGTAGCAGCACAGCGTGACTACGAGCTGCACTCCCTCGACTTCTCCACAGCTTTCCTCCAAGGCAGTCTACACGAGCAGATCTACCTGCGCCGCCCCCAGGGCTTCTCCGGTACCTTTCCTCCTGGTACCGAGTGGCTCCTCCGGCGCCCCGTCTACGGCTTACGACAGGCGCCCTGTGAGTGGCACGACACACTCCGTGCTACACTTGCTGTCCTGCGGTTCTTCCCGTCGTCTGCTGACCCCTCGCTCTTCGTCCGTTCCGGCCAGACTCTTTTCTGCATCCTTGTCTACGTAGACGACCTGGTCTTTGCTACTGTAGACAAAGACGCGCTGGCCTCTGTGAAGGCCGATCTCCTAAGGAGACACACCTGCACTGACCTAGGAGAGTTGCGACGCTACCTTGGCTTGCAGATCTCCAGGGACAGACCAGCGCGCACCACCTCTCTGTCCAAGTCACACTTGGTGCGCCAAGTCCTTAAGAGGTTCGACCTTCAGTTCTCTTCGGCATAGCCCACCCCTCTGCCAGCAGACCACAGACTCTCTGCACCAGTCACGGAGGAGGCTATAGAGCCTACTGGTCCCTACGCAAAGCTGGTGGGTTGCCTCATATACCTGATGACTTGCACTCATCCTGATCTCGCATACCCTCTCAGCATCCTGACTCGCTTTGTGGCCACTGACAGACACCGACCACAGCACTAGTCGGCAGCCAAGAGGGTTTTGCGTAATCTAGCAAGTATATGGGGCATGGGGCTAGTGCTAGGAGGACGCAGACCAGTGGCCCTTACCGGGCACACAGACGCTTCTTGGGCCGAAGACGCCAAGACTCTCAGGTCCTCCCAAGGCTACTGCTTTAGCCTTGGTTCAGGTGCCATCTCGTGGATGTCCACTCGCTCCCCGTCTGTTGCCCAGTCTAGCTGTGAGGCTGGTATCTACGCTGGTGCCATGGCAGCACAGGAGCTCCGCTGGTCGACCTTCTTGCTCACCGACTTGGGTGAGCGGCCAAGCTCTGCCCCGGTTCTGTGCACTGACAACAGGGCCATGATCCTCCTGTGTCAGGAGCCACGACTTGAGGGCAGAGCGAAGCACATCCAGCTGCGGTACTTCCTCCTACGCGAGGTGCAGCAGCGTCGCCAGGCTCGTGTAGTACATTTGGCCTCATGTGCCAACACAGCTGATATCTTTACGAAGGCGCTTGCGCCTAAAGATCATCAGCGGCACTGTGTATAGCTAGGTCTCGTTCCTGTAGCATCTCATTTGCTAGGACCTTGATTGTGTATAGACCTTTATATGTATTACCCTGCCTGGCCTTGTGGCCTCTTCCCAGTGGTTGGACTAGTAGTGCCATCTGTTGGAATGCTAGCTTAGCTAGGAAGCTAGAAAAGGCTTGATGTTTAGCTAGGAGGAGCCATGGAGTGGCGTGAGGTTTAGGAAGGAGAAAAGTTGAGGAGAGAAAAGGGGGTTAGGAAAGAAGAGAGGGGGTTATAAGGAGGGGTGTTGTACCCCCTACAGTAATGTTTAGTAAAATCTAATATACTAAGCCTACACATTATATAACTCAATATATAATTTTAACACCACCCTGGTCTTGCTCTTGCATTGTCTGTACTTGTTTGACTGGTCTTTAGACCCCTGCCTTAGAGGCTGGACTAGTAGTGCCACCCTGAGTTGTTTCTCTCTCATCGGACACTGTCCAATCCAGTCTAGGGGGTGGGTCAAACATATATTGTATGTTTTTGTAGACTATATATGGTTGTGCCTTAGGGAGTACAACCCATTATGTTATATTCCCTTGTATGCCTTGTTATAGTAATTTTTCTTTCACTTGAACACAGAGGTGATATGTTTACGAAAGCGCTTGTGCCTAAAGATCATCAGCGGTACTGCGTACTGTTAGGTCTCGTTCCTGTAGCCTCTTATTTGCTAGGACCTTGATTGTGTATTAACCTTTATATATATTGCCCTGACTGGCCTTGTGGCCTCTTCCCAGTGGCTGGACTAGTAGTGCCGCCCTGGCCGTGCTCTTGCCTTGTCTGTACTCGTTTGACTGGTCTTACAGACCCTTGCCTCAGAGGCTGGACTAGTAGTGCCACCCTGAGCTGCTTGTCTCTCACCAGGCACTGCCCCTATCTAGTCTAGGGGGTGTGTCAAACATATCATTGTATGTTGTTATAGACTGTATAGGGTTGTGCCTTAGAGAGTACAACCCACTAGGTTATATTCCCTTGTATGCCATGGTTCTATTCATTCGTTAACTTTGATAGTGTGTCAGACATATTTTTATACGTTATAATAGGGTAGATAGGTGCATGCTCTTATAGGGCACAACAAGTTGAACAAAATCAATCTGTATGCCTCATTCTAGTTACCTTATCTACTATGAGAATTATGAGATGGGGGCTTTAAAAATCTAACTCACGTTCATCATATGGCAAATGGGGGAATATACAATGAAGTGGGGATGGGCAGGAGAACACAGCGTCCTTATTGACTTCACACACGTCTTATTACAAATCCCGAAACAATGAAAGAATATGCCTAGGTGTGGTGATAATATGAAACTAAGCCTTTTGCTTGTGGCAACATGTTTGTGGCACCTCTAAGCCTTTTGCTTTGGCGCTGGGCGGCGAGCTTGGTGACGAGCATAGAATCTCAACCATTTTCGCATTGTCAGCATGAAGCCAGGCCTCAGCTCTCGTTCCAGCTGTGCACTCCACTTGGTTGTAGCATAAGGATTCGGCTGTAGTGTCACGTTGCCCGACACCGCCCCTCCCCCATACACCACAAGACTCGATACACTCCCCGGTTTTGCGATGGATGCAGGCCTTGCAGCAATCGGTCTCATCGCCGGCATAGCGATATTAAAAAGGCTGAAATACGTAGTGTATGACACGTTTTGCGGGCCGATGTCCTTCACTGGGCAGCTCCGAAAAGCCGGAAACTTTTTAAGAATTGGCGACGTCAGAACCAGGCTGTAGTCGCGGTTCTTCACGCTCTTAAAGCCAGCAGTACTGAGTTTCACGGGCAGGTAGGTCAGCTTGTTTAATTTCGGCATGGCGGTGAACGGAGCACAGTTGGAGTGGAGGTACACCTGGCGGGTGGAGTTGTCGGAGGTGGCGGTGACGATCTCAGCGATGTTTTCCGTGGGCAGGCCGGAGCACCGGCCTGTGGTGGTGGGCCCGGCCGTGGCCGAGGTGCCTTCGTTGCAGTTGATGCCGTTGATGGTGGTCTTGTTGCAGAAGCCAGTGAGGAAGGGGAAGAGCTGGCGGGGGGGGGTAAAGCAAAGGGGTAGGACGGACGTAATCACCAGAGGTACCTTCTTGATGCCCGGCGTCTGCTATTGAGTCCACTCAAAGTGCACGGCACGGAAAGAGCATCCATGATGACTAAAAGAAGAAATGAGGTGAGCAGGTACCTTCTTGATGCTTGGCGTCTGGTAGTAGGTGAGCAGGTCGTTGTTCCACTTAATCCCGTTGGGTTTGTCGCAGTTGTTCACGTTGTAGTTCTGGCACGAGATGTACCCCGCCGACGGCTCCTTGCTGTCAATGACCACCATGCCCCGCACCTCGTTGCTGCGGGCGCAAAAGGGAGGAGGGAGGGGAGAAGAAAAAGAGGGGGGGGGGAAGAGAGGAGGATCCACGAGTCAAGAAACTTGGGAGTAGTTCTGGCACGAGATGTACAATGCTGACGGCTCCTTGCTGCCGATCACCACCATGCCCCGCACCTCGTTACTGGAACAAAGCAGGAGGGAGGAGGGAGGAGGGGGGAGAGTGGAGGTGGGATGGGATAAATAGGGGGGAAATTTGAGACAGGAATCGATAGAGTGGGATTGGTAGTAGGTGAACAGGTTGGTGTAGTGGGGTACACTGCGGTACAGTGGGATGGAGTGGAGTGCGGTGGTGTTGGTGTGCGGTGGGTGGCAGTGGTGGCTTTCCATTTGGGTGCACCCTGGGGTTGGTTGGACTGGTCTTACTACTTTCCAGTGTTCAGATTGAATCCTTGAGATGATTTTTTAGTCGACTAAAAAATCATTGAACCCATCGGCCGGACTGGTCTCTCCTAACACACGAGCCCATCCACTGACACACGCCAGACTGGACTCCCTTTTCGCCTTTGTTGAGCCCAACACGACCGCCAGTCCAGGTACATGCAGTGCCCGCACTCATGAGTCTACCCAGGGGTTTAACTCATCAGCCGTCTGCTCGCACACGAGCCCATCCACCACCACCACGGACGACGCCCAGTCCAGGTACAGGCCCTCTACGGTCAGTCCAAGTACATGCAATGTGTACCAACCCACTCACTTCTTTCCCGTGTTGAGCTTCAATCCGTCTGCCGTCTGCTCGCAAACGAGCCCATCCACCACCACGCCCGACGACACCCAGTCCAGGTACAGGCAGTGCCCGCCCCTCTGCACGTAGTTGCACCGCAGGATATTCCCGGGGTTCACCCAGTGCGTGTCGGCATAGATACCCGCACTGTCCCCCAGCTGGCCGAAGCCGTGGATGATGTCGTTCTTGGTGACCAGAGAGAGCATGGCGTCGCCCACGTTGGTCTGCCCCCACCCCAGCTGCAGACTCGCCAGGCTAAAATGTGATATGCGGTTACCGATCACGTCGACGCCCACTGCTCCGCGAAACAGCATGATGCCCACACTGCATGCAAGGTGGGGGATGCGGGGAGAGGATAGACGGGGAAGCGACACTTGAGAGATTTGCAGGATTGCAAAGGAGAAGTGCCATAATGCGGTTGTGAATGAATGATGTCCACACCCACTGCGCCACGGAGCAGCATGATGCCAACACTGCAGTAATGGAGAGGTGAGGAGGAGGAGGAAGTGAGGGAGCCACGGGAGGTGAGTGAGGAGGGGTGGAGATGGTGGAGAGAGGGGGGAGGCGAGGGAAAATGCGGCGCAGTTGAACATCAGGTTCACTCCCAACGCTTTTGCTTCCTCTGGAGAGACCTTCGGTGCGCCCTTGCCCCATGGCGCCTTTGGTGCGCACGTTGTTGTTGGAGAGATGACCACGTTGCTGCGGATGAACGGGCAACAAAACATGGTGTGTGACAGAATCACACAAGACATTGCGTGTGCGAGGGACTTACGGTGCCCCCTGCCCCATGGCGCCTTCGGTGCGCACGTTGTTGTTGGAGATGACAACATTGCTGCGGATGAGGTTCGGCCCGTCGCCCGACAGCATCACCACGATCGCGCCCGGCTGGTTGGTCGCTTTGACTAGAACGTCCAGGGAGTCGATTCGTGAGTAATTTGCCCGCGCCACCTCCACTCTCCCATAGACGTTCCCCTGAAATGGGCAGGAAAAAATTAAGATGAGCCGCTCACTATGAGCTGTGACGAAGATGATGGTTGATCAACTGGAGTTTGGTTTTGAGGCGCCTCAAAAATAGGCTCCCCGCGCCACCTCCACTCCACTCTCCCATAGACATTCCCCTGAAATGGGCAGAGGTTGATGACGAGCGCTGGTGATTGATAATTCATCACCTGGAGTCGATTTTTGCGGCGCCTAAAAAATCGACTCATCACGCGCTGATTGATCACCTGGACCTTTTATTTTCTTCCTCTTACTCCAAAAACACAATTCAGAGAGCAGGAGCGGTAGAGTGGATGTGAGGGAGGGATAAGGGCGTACCTGCACCACTTGTACGCCCCAGACTCGGTACAGCCACACAGCAGGGCAGGCGTATTTGCCTATGAAGTCGATGTAGCGCGTCTCGATATAGTTACAGTCCAGCTGGCCTAAAGTGGAAACGGGCATCTTGAAATTCACTCCGATCACGAGCACGTTGTTGGTGTTGACGATCTTGGCCACCATGGTGCTGCAAGGGGGGGGGTTGGGGAAGCGAAACAGAAAGAAGAAGAGAAGAGAAAGTATGAGTTGTCGGATGTTCTGTTGCTAAATCTCCGTGCACCGTACTCTTGAAGTTCGCTCCAATTATGAGCTGAACGTTGTCGGTGTTGATGCTATTGGTTAACGGTGCTGCGAGGAGGAGAGGGAAAGGGAGAAACTGGTTCCGACCATGAGGGAAGAGGAGAAGAGGGAAGAGGAGAAGCGAAAGATGGGTATGAGCGAGGGAGGAGGCGTAGCAAGAGAGGAAGAGGGTACTTGACGGAGGGCGAGACGAGGAGGGAGGGAAGGAGTGAGAGAGGGCGAGACGAGGGGAGAGGGCGAGCGAGGGAGAGGGGCGCGCGTACTTGACGGAGGGCGAGACGAGGTCGTAAACGCGGTCTTTGTCGGAGCGGAACACCGTGCAGCTGAACTTGGCGTCCATAACGAACGTGTCGGTCAGCTGAATGCTCGCCTTGAGCAACATGGTCACGTACTGCGATTTGGGGGGGTGGGTGGGGGGGGGGGGGAAGACGCGGCACAGGACAGCGGGTTGAGGAGGGAAGAGTGGAGCAGAGCACCGTGCAGCTGAACTTGGCGTCCATCACGATCGTGTCGGTCAGCTCAGTGCTAACTTTGAGCAGCATCGTCACGTACAGCGATCGGGAGGGAGGGGAGGGGTGAATCGGCACGAGGGAAAGCGGGCTGGGGGGTGATGAGGTGCGAACAGAGCGTTGTTCTGAAAACAGCTCTCCCTTAAGACGGAAGCGGAAGAAGGAGGCGGAAGGAGGACGAAGCGGTGAGGGGAACCACGAGGCGGGGATTACCTGATTGGCGGGGTAGTTCTTGCGAAGGTACAGGTCCGACTCCTTCGTCACGTTGATAAGAACGCGGGGAAGGAGACACGAAACTGCGGGGAGCGGGACGGGCGGCGGGATATGCGGCGAGATGTGCGGAGGGAGGAAAGAAAGGGGAATGCTGTTGTTGAGCGGACAGATGACGGGGCAAAAAGTAATTAAGGGGGAGGGGGGCGGGAGGAGTTGGGGAGGGAACTCGGAGGGAAGCGCTCCGTGAAGCGGTGAGGGGAGATTTTTTTCGCGGCACGTACCGGATTGCGAGGGAGCGACGAGAGAAAAGAGCGCCAGAAGGAGGGAAAACGCCATTGAAAGTACGCCGCCGGCCTGCGCAGAGCGAACGGCATAGCAACCCGATTTTGTCACCACCATGCTAATAATGATACAGCTCATGATTCTCTAAACTTTCGAGCCGAAACGCAACTCTTTGTAAATGAAAGCGAACGCGACGAAGCGGCCACGGAGCATGATCGTCAGTTCCATCATCCGATGTTGAAGTTCCGCGACCGTCGCGGAGAGAGTTCAACTTTGATTTGCTGATAGCGCTGCGAAGTTCCTCGCCGACTCGGAATGGGAACGAGAAATGCCGCGCACCTTCTGAGAACTCTATCTAATTATCGAAAGAGAAATGCAACGCACCTTTTCGGAAAAGTTCCGCATTCTGAGAAATCTCTGCGGGAGCGCAGCACAGATTGCAATGGTGCGTCAGCAGGTTCGACGATTCGTAATGGGCTTGTCTGCCGCCAATTTCTAAACTTCCTGGCGAAAACTTCACGTCCGAGCCGCTAAGGGTTGATCTTGCCTTGGGTCGAGCTCGTAAAGTTATGGGAATTTCCGGAGTACAGGAGCGGAAATCTATAAGCTCAGGCTTGACCAAGGAGCAGGTACTATGCCGTGCGAGTCGATTAGGATGGAGTCGCTTCCAGACGAAAGCGATCGAGTTTCAACTGTCGGGTGGTACAGCAGCCTGGGGAGGTAGGTGAGAAATGGGAAGGTTCTGTGCTCAGCAGAGGCGGGGGGGAAAGAAATGTGATTGTTGGTTTGAGTTTTGCGCCCTACCGACGAATCCGAAAATCCGCTGGCGGAAGAAAGGCTTGTGCGAGGTGAGATGTGATTTTCACCAGGCCAGACGTGCTTTGTATTTATCCAACCAGGGGCGGCCCAGCTGGTGGCGATGCGAGCCGCAACATGTGGCACTTTGCCCTGCGTCAGGTGACTGCGACACAGCGCGGCGCACTCTCAGGGGACGGTGATTGTCGGCGAAGACTTTCGCAGCCGTCAGCTGAGAACATTTGTGGAGAGCGGGGAGTTGACGACGCTTGAGCGAAAGCTCTTGTAAGATATCCTGGTTACATCACTTCCCCTTCAATTCCGGCGGCACACAGGTTGAGTTGAGACCAGGGCTTATGTTAGGTTTTTTAGCAGCTCTGGCGCTCAGGGCTCCCTTCAAATTTCGCCCTGAAAACCCAGGGTCCGAACATGCACTGCCCTGATTTTTCAGGGCCGGCCGAAGAAATGCTCGTAGGGCGTACATTTCCAATGATTATTTTTTAGGTTGATCCACGCTCAGTGGCTCATCGGAGTCACATGTGTGTGAGAAATACTCCTTCCCAACTATTAACCTGGTAGCCAGGTCCTAGGAAGAGTGACAGGTGTTAGGAGAGTGGGAGAAACTTGTATTCTACCGGGAGGCATCGGTAAGGGGAGGGTGTGGGTAGTGGGAAAAATCAGGGTCGCCAAGAAATCTACTCGGAGTTTCCAGGGACGCCTTGAGATCCTCCCGGATTCCGTCAGGGCTGGGTGAAAAAGAACCCGGAGAAAATCAGGGCTGGTCTGCAAGATACCTTAGAATTTCAGTCAAGTCAGGGCAAATGCCCTGATAACATATGCCCTGGTTGAGACCCACACCCAGACGCGCATTTTGGCGTGACGTAATCAAAAGGACACGTTGCGAACCAACTCCCTCTTTTGTCCACAAGGGAATGTCGGTCGTGGAAGAAATTACACTGCACAAATTGCAGGTAAGACACTCCTACCGCCCTTAGGTAGGGAGCACACATCAGCCGACGCGCTCATTTTGATCCCCCCTTCCGCTACAGTTGTTTACCTCTCAAAGCAGATTCGTTTACGCACAGATGCTCCGCGTTGTCATTTACACAAAGACCTCAAACACAGCTAGCCCATACAGAAATGAGACTTCATATGTGGAATTCCAACTTCCTCAGCTACCCCATATGTTTAGCGACGCTGAACAGGCCTTTCTCTACTGAAAGAGCAAAAGAAGGCTTGCTCCTGAGGAGTCGACTATATAGCCACGTCTAAAAGAACCCATGGCTGCAAGGTGAGCATTGCATGCTGAGGACGAGAGAAACTCCGTGCTAGCACCAAGAGGCCGTCACGCACCAACAGGCAGACACGCACCAACGGGCAGACACGCACCAAGAAGTAGACAGCCACCACATGCATTGTACACGTCCTAGTGTTGCGCAGACTGCATTTGCGGCGATTTACGGGGCTGAGGAATGCAGGTGGTTGGAAGTGTCTGATTTTAAGTGTGAATGCCGGACAACCACAATTGCAATCCCCCATCTGCTTGTCACGTCCATACGCCCCGCTTGATGGTTGCGTAATTTTTACAAATAGATCTACACCACGTGCACAAGACGCACCACGTGCATTTGAAAACAAAATCGTTCCGATATGACCCACCGCCTCTACCCTTAGATTTTATTTTCCGCATCAACGTTTACCACCTGCTGTTCTACTTATTTTCCCTAAACCGATAAAAACATTCTCGCCAAGTTATCGCGCCGGCGACCATAATCAGCCACTGAGAATCTCCCCAACTTCCGAGGTCTATCTCAGCTCCACGCGGTGACGTTTCCTCGCTACGGGAAGTTAACCGCCGTTCGATAAATCGTGTTGTTTACCCAATTCGCGGGGACCGCGTCCCATGCCTCGAGCGGGAGATTCCCGATGGCGGGCCAGAGGCGGAAGGAGAGCGACATGCCGACCACGGGCAGACCCGGCAGGTCCCAGACGGCACCGTAGCTCTTGCGCATCGTCATCCACGGGCCGCGCGCGATCGAGATGTCGACGCGACGCACGGCGCCAGATCCGGCCACGTTAAGAGGCATGGCTGCGGGAGGAGAGGGCGCGAAGACACAGAAACCGAATTACTCATAACCACTGTCATAACCATCGCTGCAGGAGAAGAGGGCGTGACGATAACACCAGGCCCAACAATCACAACTAGCACGATGCAAATTGACCAGCATTGATCATTTATTTCCCTGCAAGGAAACAATGCTCATCTTCAATGTTGCTCGAGCCGGCTCTGTAATGAATATTCATAAAAGCAACGAGCCTAACCCCCCCCCTTCCCGCTCCACCCCCCCCAAAAAATCCCGTCGCTCCTCACCTGTGACGTAGTATTCCTTCCCAGTGATGTTGAACGCGACGCCACCCACGCGCCGGCACTTGACGCGCTTAATCTCCACGGGAACCACCCCAGCAGAGGGGTCTTTCGACATCATGTTCCACACGGGATTCGGCAGAGTAATGCTCAGCTTCCGTCCCGCGCAGTACCCGCCAGGTGCGTTCGGCGGGCACAGATTGGTGACTGTAACGGGCATCGTGAGCGTGTTCGGCTTGCATGAGGGGTGCCCCGTGCACCGCACCTGGAAGCACGCGCCGCAGTTGCTGCCGTTGGCGTACCCGACAGTGGACAACGACGCGGTGTTGTAGTGGATCACGGGGTACCCGCACGCGCCGTTGGGGCGGTTCTGCAGCGCGTAGTACGACGCGACGAAGCCTTTTATCCATTGCGCGGAGATTGCGGCGGTGAAGGAGGAGAGGCATAGCGCGAGCAGCAAAACCCTAGGGACTGTTTGACGACGCATCGTTCCTGACTGGTACTTTGCGCGACTGAGCAACTCACGCCTTTCGGACCGATCAAACCTGGCTGCTCCGATCAAACGATTTTCGGATCTCAAACGCGAACGATGGAATACCCAGGCGGTAGCACTTACAGACGGACTTCTATCGTTAGCTTTCGAGCTGGAAATTATAATCACGAGGTACCTGATATTATCGAGCTTGACTGAAGATAGTAGAAGCAGAGCGAACGAGGCGGGAGGGGACAGAAAAAATCGACTCGAGCGAACTAAGAGAGGAGTGGTGGGTAGGTGGGAGGATATGGGGGAGTCGCGACGAGGCGAGGGGAACTCGAAGCAAGCACCCAGTCGCATTCACGCCAGTCGCTTTCTGCGCACGAAACACAACAGCGGAGCCGTCACGGGTTGAGTTGGGTGGGTCATCCAATTGAGTCACGGACCGCCCAGTAAGGTGTGCCTGCTCGAGGCGCCGCAAAATTTGAATGCGGCGCGCGCCTCTGCGCTGTGCTTGTGGCAGGGAGGGAGTTGACCAGCCCGCGGTAAGATCACTGCTCATTGCATGGTAAAATGCGGCATGAAGTACAAATACACCTGCTGAGCATGACACACTATCATAACTTTCCGAGTGCTTGGGCTAGAGGGTGAATTTTGTACGACGGTGATAAACTTCAAGAGGAACTTTACGCACTTCTGCAAAAATATGCATGAGGATACTTTAAACTAAATGACAGTATAAATACTTATCATCGTCCGGAAGTTGCAGTCTTCCCACCCCCCTCACCACCCAGATGCTCCACCTGGAAATGGCACCCTCCCCCAGGACTAGCAGTGGGTGGTCTCGTTTGAAGCGCAAGCAGAGTCCCGTTCCCAAGCATAGAGGCAAACATGGCAAACGTGCTCACATACTTGTTGAAGCTCACAAGCACTCGGGCCCGACTCAGGAGGAAAAACTCGGCCATCGTCGAAGAGGGATGCTCCTGGAGCCTCTCGTCTAGCAGCTTCTGTCTCTCCAACGGGTCCAAACCACTCAACCCCTCTCCAGCTCCTTCGAATTTACCATCTGATGGCTCTGCTCCTTCGGACATGGCAGCAGCAGCACGGGCGGCACCGCCGCTTTTTGACGTGTGAGTGACGGCCCCTGTGGAGAAAAAGACGTCCCCGGCCACCGGCCCTATCTTATCCACAAACTGCGGCCGCAGGTTCTCGTTGTCCGTTGCCAAAAAGACGGAAAGGGGTTTTAAAGAGGACAAAACTGCGCTGTCGATTCCCTCCAAGCCAGCCTCAAGATCACCACCTCCAGCAACACGGGCGTTCCTGGGAAATCGACCACCCTCTTCCTTCACTAAGCTCTTACCAGCTAGAGACCCCAAAAGGGAAACTAGGGGGTCGGGGTTTTCCTTGGAGGGTTGGGGCAGCTTGATGCCGGATTTGCTTGTGCGGAGGAAGAGGAGGAGGCGGGCGATGCAGGCCCACTTGTCAGGCGTGAGGAACTGCTGCATGTGGGCTGCTTCCGCTGCTCTCAGCTGCTGCAGCTCGTGCTGACACTCCTTGTCAGCCTCGTGGCAGGTCGGATGCTCCACCAAGCTGAAGAACAAATGGGAAGGAAAAGGAGCATTGGAAGCAGAGAGGATGAGATGAAAAAGAACGCGAAATGATGGTGAGAAGGCTTCATCGGCTTAGGCCAGAACGAGATTGATGGAGAAAAGGATAGACCAGGGCAACCACACCACACTACGACTCACTTGATGAAAAAAGGATAGACAAGGGTATTTTGAGAATTCTCAAAATGCATCCACAGCACTGGCGAGGTCGACATGAATGGAGAGAAGGACAGACATGTGCAACCAACCATGCTACAACTCACTCAACAGCGCTCTGATGTGCTGTTGAGTGACTCTCAATGCAACAATCACTTGGTTGCAGTGCGTATCTGAATGGCCACCATCCCCCGAATGAGAGAACACTCACTTGGTTGCAGTGCGGATCTGAATGGCCACCATCCCCCCTTTAAGAGAACACTCACTTGGTCGCGGTGCGTATCTGAATGGCCACCATCCCCCGTAGGAGAGAACACTCACGTGGTTGCAGTGCGTATCTGAATGGCCACCATCCCCCGTAGAAGAGAACACTCACTTGGTTGCTGTGCGGATCTGAATCGCCACGTCGAACTGCAGGCGCAATCCAGTCCCTCGCTTCACTCTCGCCCGCCCCTGTTTCTGACCGTCCTCACCATCCCCACCATCCCCACCATCCCCACCATCCCCACCATCCCCTTTATAAGCTGAACCACCCTCCTCAGCCACACCCCCTCTATCCTCCGTTTCACTGCCCTCAGCAGCCCCATACTCCTCCAGCTGCCGCGCCTTGCTGAGTGGGCTGCCCATGCCATCTGTGGCTGCGCCTGCTGCACCTGCTGTTGCTCCTGTTGCTGCGGGTGATATTTGCGTCGACTTGAAAATCAGCTGCCATGCTTTGTTCAGGGGGCTGTCCGTGCCATTGGTTGCTGCTGTTGCTGCTGTTGCCACTCTTACTATTGATTCTGTTGATTCTGTTGATTCTGTCTCCGCTGTTGCCGTTGCAGCTGTTGCAGTTGCTGCTGCGGCAGGCAGTGCCTGGCGTGAACTGGCAGGAGAGGCAGAATCGGAAGCAACAGCTGCGGCTTCCATAGCAGCATCAGGATGAGAAGAAGCCCATCCTGCCGCGGCAGGATCGGAATCATCCCCACCACGGACGTGGCCGCTCTCTTTCTGAGGCGCCTCAAAAATAGACTCACCACGGACGTGGCCGTTCTCATTCACCTGACGTGCCTCTTTCCTCTCCTCCTCCACTCTCACCTCCTCTAATCCTCCCCTCCTCCCAACCAGCCTACGCCTTCCCCCCCCACCCTGGTCACTAGCACTCTCTCGACTTGTCCCGGCCCCCCTGCCTCCCTCATTCCCTCCTGATTTCGTCCCCTCCACTCCTTCCTCCTCTCCTCCTCCTAACCGCCTCCTCTCCTCCCCATCCCCACCATCCCCCTCACTCTCACCCATCCCCCTCTCCTCCCTCCTCCCCTCCTCCCCCCCCCCTTTCCCTTCCCTACTCCTCTCACCCCCATATCTCTTCTCCCCATCTCATCCTCACTCTCACTCACTCCCCTGTTTCCTTTTCCACCATCCTCCTTTCCTCCTTTCTCGTTCCCTCCTCCCCCATTCCCTCCTCCCCCGTTTCCTCCCCCCTCCCCCCACCTCTTCCGCCTGACTATCTCCTCAATCACCTCCTGTAACTCAGGCACAGGCCCGTGACCCAATAGAGCATGTATGGCATGGCTCCTGACACACCATATGTTATGGCAGTGAAAGGCGCGCTGCACGCACGGGGCCAGCCGCCCGTTCTTATGCCAGAAATTATCGAAGAAGCTGCCCGTGTTCACGTGCACCACGGGCAGCCCGCTCTGCAGGGCAGAAAGAAACTCCTGCCGTGGGGCATGCAGCTCCAGCGGCTCGCTGACGTGGCGGATATCATCTGTAAAATTGACCAGTGGGGCAACGCCGCTACAGTCGAATGCAGTGCAGAGATAGTCTAGGACGGCTCTATGCTTGCCGCCGTGCCACCGCAGCAGTCGTCGCCCTGAGAGGAGTGCGTAGACATATGCCGAGCAGAATCCCCGCAGCGAGTTGCCTAAGCCGAATCGGGGGAACCACACTAGGTACCGCTCCTGCTGCTGCTGCTGCTGGTCCTGCTGCTGCTTGTCGCCATCTGAAGAGGAGTGAGCAGCGTGGGGGGGATGCATCGATGCTGCTACGGCAGCAAGAGCAGCTTCAGCTGACGACTGCTGCTGCGCGTGGTGCTCCCCCTGCTCACCCTGCCCCCCCTGCTCCTCTCTCCCTTGCTGTTGGTCGTCTGCAGCGTATGCAGGCAGCGGCTGGGGGTCGAAGAGTGGAGAGGAGACTGCCCTGAGCTGGTCGCCGGAGACAGGAGTGGTGTCCAGGATGCGCGTGGGCTGGTCGAACGTCTCGGGGGGAAGCACCTTGGCACACGAAGCTAGAGCCTGGGGCAGGGTACAGGGGATGGGGATGGGGATGGGGATGGGGATGGGGATGGGGATGGGGATGGGGATGGGGATGGGGATGGGGATGGGGATGGGGATGGGGATGGGGATGGGGATGGGGATGGGGATGGGGATGGGGATGGGGATGGGGATGGGGATGGGGATGGGGATGGGGATGGGGATGGGGATGGGGATGGGGATGGGGATGGGGATGGGGATGGGGATGGGGATGGGGATGGGGATGGGGATGGGGATGGGGATGGGGATGGGGATGGGGATGGGGATGGGGATGGGGGGGATGGGGATGGGGATGGGGGGGATGGGGATGGGGATGGGGATGGGGATGGGGATGGGGATGGGGAATGGGGATGGGGATGGGGATGGGGATGCGGATGGGGATGGGGATGGGAAGGGAAGGATGGAGGGAGGAGGGGCGCAAGTGTTGAGGAGAGCGCTCTCTGAGCTGGTCGCCGGAGACAGGGGTGAGAGTCGAGGATGACGTGGGCTGGTCGAACGTCTCTGGAGCAAGTACCTTGGCACACGAAGCTAGAGCCTGGGGAGGCGATTGGGAACGAAGGAGGGGGAGGAGGGGGGGGGGAACCTACCAGGGGGAACCTACCAGGGGGAACCTACCAGGGGGAACCTACCAGGGGGAACCTACCAGGGGGAACCTACCAGGGGGAACCTACCAGGGGGAACCTACCAGGGGGAACCTACCAGGGGGAACCTACCAGGGGGAACCTACCAGGGGGAACCTACCAGGGGGAACCTACCAGGGGGAACCTACCAGGGGGAACCTACCAGGGGGAACCTACCAGGGGGAACCTACCAGGGGGAACCTACCAGGGGGAACCTACCAGGGGGAACCTACCAGGGGGAACCAGGGAACCTACCAGGGGGAACCTACCAGGGGGAACCTACCAGGGGAACCTACCAGGGGGAACCTACCAGGGGGAACCTACCAGGGGGAACCTACCAGGGGGAACCTACCAGGGGGAACCTACCAGGGGGAACCTACCAGGGGGAACCGACCAGGGGGAACCTACCAGGGGGAACCTACCAGGGGGACCAGGTACCTGTTCTCAACTCCATGGCTCTTAGAGACAGGTTGTGCACGAGGGGACTCGTCCAGCTGTCCCCCACGGCCCCATCGCGCAGCGTTTGAGTCGACTCAAAAGCTGTCCCCCACAGCCCCATCGCGCAGCGCCAGCGGTAGCCCCGGTCCGCCTGCGTGCCCACCAGACCAGGTATCTGTCCTCTTGATGGGGATTCTAACTCACCAGGGGTAACATACAGGGGAGCAGGCACCTCCACTCACGTCCATATCCAGGGTAAGATTGTGCACGAAAGGGCTCCTCCAGCTGTCCCCGACCACCCCGTCCGTCCAGCGCCAGCGGTAGCCCTGGTCCGCCTGCGTGCCCACCAGGAAGCGGTCCTCGCGGGGGTCGCCATTGAGGCGGAACGCCACACTGCGCACCCACACGTCCTTCAGCCAGCTCATGATGAGCTGGCGGCGTGAGTCATGGGGCTGGGGAGGAGGGCTGATGGTTAGCCGGCGCCGGGGAGAACGGGACTGGGGAGGATGCGAGTGAGCGGGCGGGGTGAAAGGGCGGCGGCGGCTCAGGAGGTGGAAATCCTCGGAGTGGTGCTGCAGAAAGCCACGGTCGCGCATGGCAAGTGCCTCGTTCTGCAACTGCGACGCCGCCTCTTCATCCTCCCCCTCTTCATCCTCCCTCTCCTCCCTCTCCTCGTCTCCCTCCTCGTACTGCTCCTCGCCCTCCCCCCCCTCTTCAGCGCCTTCTGGTCTGCGCACGAGGTAAATACCCGCTGCTCTTGCCGACGGCAGCAGCAACTCGAGGCTCGAAAACGGCAGATCCACCTCTGCTTTCACCTCCCTTCTCAGACCTACCTGATCCCCTCCTTGTTGCCCTTCCTCCTCCTCCTTATCCTCCTCCTCCTTAACCTCCTCCTCCTTAACCTCCTCCTCCTTAACCTCCTCCTCCTTAACCTCCTCCTCCTTATCCTCCTCCTCCCCTACAGGAGAATTTCCAGAGCCTGAGGATGCCAGTTCCAGCTGCTTTCCAGGTCGCTGCACGAATCCCCATATTAGCTGCGAGGCCCGCTTGCTTATAAGACCGATTCGATATAAGCCAGTGGTGTTACAGCTGCTTGTATTGGGGATTTGGTGCTCATCGTAGCTGCTGTTTGCCTTGGGACTAGGAAGCACGTGGGGAGCTTCGGGATGGGTTTCAACAGAGGAAGGTGCTTCTGCTGAGATCGGCCAGTTACCTGCTGACAAGTCGGATGGGGGACAGAGGACGAGGGGAAGGGTGGGAAGGACGAAGGAAGCGACATATGTATGAGGGATGAAACGATGACAAATGGCAACTGGTGAATGGAAAAGTGGTTACTGTTCATTCATTGCAGTCTCACTGAACGCTAACCATTTACTCATATCCAAACGAGGTGACTTTTGAGTCGACTCAAAAGTCACTGGTGAATGGAAAAGTGGTTAATGTTCATTCATTGCAATCTCACTGAACGCTAACCATTCACTCATATCCAAACGAGCAGCAGTCAGGTAAACTGCACTCTGACGTCAGACAGCCATTGATTCACTTCACACGCACAAAAAGAAAGCTGGAAGAAAAGTTTCCCACAATCCGGGAGCAACGGGGTGTAATGAGTCGATTTTTGAGTCGACTCAAAAATCGGGGTTCATGCAATCAGAATGGACGAATGGGAAACAAGAAGAACAAAATGGGGGGGAAACAAGTCGGGACAGTTTCTCACGGGTACTTGTGCTCGCATATGCGAAGAGGACGAATACCACGAACGCCACTCGCGAAAGGTATCGTGGTAACCGCGGCAGCCATCGCACAGACAACCACCGAACGACATGGCCGCTTTGGCTAGCGCCAGAACCCAGCGGCTTTTCCATTAGTCCAGGAGATTCAGCAGCTACTTGTTAGGAGATCAGCGGTTTGGGGCTGCTCAAACACTAGGATGCATCTTTCGCGAATCAACGGATGCTAGGTCAATTGTAGGGCATTTTTTTAGTCCACGCTTTAATCACCTACTATTATGAGACGAGCGGTTTGGGGCTCATCAACCACTAGGATGCATCTTGCGCGAAAAAACGGAGGCTAGGAGGTCAGTCCTACAACCCTTGAAGTTCCGTTGTTCCCCAGCCTAGGTAGTCCCTAATCTTCGCGCCCTATCGGGTGCGGGAATGCTGGCACGAAGAAGCTTAGTAGCGGCCAACAGGTGGATGAGAAGATTCGCGGCCTTTTAGGTGCGGGAATGAGAAGCTTCGCGGCCTATCAGGTGCGGGAATGCTGGCATGAAGAAGCAATGATGAGTGCTCGTGGCGAGCCGCAGTTTCTGTACGCGGTAGAAGGCTGTTTCGATAGGAAAGCCAAGGATTGTTTCGCCTCTATCATGAAATAGGTAAATGCTGAGCGCCTGTTGGACGAGAGCACCCTGACCAACTTCATCCTACTGAGATCTAGTGGAGTAGAGCTTGCAGCCGACAACGCGCTACGCGTAACTTACGGTCGTCCGCTGATGCCGTCAAGAGTAGCAGCGGCTACGAGCCGGGTTTTAAGACAGGTCGGCCGGCACGGCAGGCAAGGCGATAAGAAAAGGCTGGAGTTGCCAACAATCTATCCCACGCGAGTTGCTGCGTTTCTGGTCCAGATGTAACCGCGCCACCGCTATGATTCGCGGAGTTCCCGATGTGCAGGTGTCAGTGGCAAAGCAATAGGTGCAAGTGCGCGAATGCGCTGTGGTTGGTGGGAGAGAGGCCGAGAGAAGGTGGGTGGGGGGGTGGGTTGTGCAAGCGAGGGGAGCGAACAATGGTGTACTGAACTGTATTACTGCACGCGAAAATCACGATTTGGGCGAATCTGGTTACTGGAAGTAGCCCAACTTCCAAGGGATTGAGATTGAGACGAACTCGGCAAACCCAAGGCGGCCCTCCGGTGGGGGTGGGGTGGGGGTCAATCATCTGCCAACCACGAGAGCAGACCAATTGTCCTGCCGGTTGCGCAGCCACGTCAGCCGGTTTTGTTCACGCAGAGCTCATCCAACTTGGCCCCAGAACAGAAATCCCCGATAGACACTATACGGTTAAAACAGTGAAGAGTGCAGAAGTTCTGTTAGCCACTACAAGACCTTGTAGTATCCACAAATGAAAGATGATTTCAACTTATAATAGAGCCATACGTGAGACTTGCAAGAAATGAAACTCCATAACCTAGGACCATACCCTTCGAAACTGATACAGAAATCCAAGCAACACATGCTAAGATTGGCTGGCTTGGTTGGAATCGCTACTCCCCCTCTCAGCAGCTGCTGCCTGCTCGGCTTCCATAAGGGAAAGCGCCAGCGCAAGCCGCATTTGCCCTTCGAAATCGTCAGGAACTAGCAAAGGCACAGCGCCTACTCGCTCCCCCTCCGTTCTATTGGAAGAACCACCAAGATCCGCAACATCAGCACTAAAAAGAGTGCTCTCCCTGCCACCCCCCAAGTCACTCTCAAGAGCCATCCCTCCTCCCTGCATAAGAAAGCTCTCAATAACATCCTCCTCCTGCTGATCTGCCTGCTGGGCTACCTGCTGCCGCTGTGCCGCTCCTGCCGTTGCTGCAGTGGCGGGGACCTGGCTCTCACGCTGGCTATCATAACCCGAGTGAGAGCTTGCTGCAGCACAACCCGATGCTACAGCTGCTGCTACAGCTGCTGCTGCTGTTGATGTCGCATTGTCTTCTGCCGCTGCTGGTGATCCATCTGCTGCTGCTGAGGTGCCTGCTGCTGCTGCTGCTGCTGCTGCTGCTGCTGAGACAGAACCTGCAGCTGTAGTGGCAGGAATGGTGGCAAATGCAGTAGTTGCAGCATCTGCAGCTGGTGCTGACGCCGATGAGCGTCGGGCCGCCTCCTCTTGATCCTGGAGCCGGGCGCACGGAGGGCATAGAGCGCACAGAGGGGCAGTTCAGGGAAAAGTGAGGAGCACAATGAAACAGAAGTAGAGTAGAATACATACCAAAGAGGTGACTTTTGAGTCGACTCAAAAGTCAAAAGTGAGGAGCACAATGAAACAGAAGAAGAGTAGAATACATACCAAAGGGGGCATGGAGGAGAAGCGACAAGGCTGGAAAGCACCTGGAGCGAGAGCCATATTGCCTCCATGAGCAGCACCTCCTCAAGGTCCATACCCAACTCCCCCGCCCTGATTGCCACAGAGGAGTCACCAGGACAGCAACCATGAGTCTACTCACATGCATTCGCAGCCATTACCTGGAGGGAGAGCCAGATGGCCTCCATAAGCAGCAGCTCCTCGAGATCCACACCCAACTCCCCCGCCCTGCCGGTCACACACGAGACATGGAGGCGGCATGGAGATTGAGGAGGACAGAAAGGAGCATGCACAGAGATGCCAGAAGAACAGCGCAGAAGGGAAAGGCGTACAGAATGGGCAGAAAGAGAATGACAGAAAAGGAAGAGCCTAAGGAGCACATAATGAGCGCACACGACAGCGAGCAGCTGGTAGAGCCAGAGCAGGTAGAGACGAGATAGAGAGGGAGGAATAAATGGAGGAGAAGAGGGAGAGGAAGAATGGGAGGTAGGTAGGGTAGTGCCAGCAGAGAAAGGGGAGCCTGCCTTGAAGGAGAGATTCTGGGAGAGACAGTGGAGCCATGGCTGCTGCCAGCACAAGTGGTAGCAAACGTGGCACCCAGACCTGCTTTTGAGTCGACCCAAAAGGGTAGGTAGCTTACCTTGAGGGAGAGATTCTGGGAGAAACAGTGGAGCCATGGCTACTGCCAGCACCAGTGGTAGCACCCGTGGCAGCACCTGTGGAACCCACACCTCCTCCCAAACCTCCCCCTACCACTCCCACGCCTCTTCCTGACCCTGACCCGCCATATCTTCCCGAACCAGCCCTAAGCCCCCCTGCCGAACCTGCCCCTTCTGCCGAGCCTGGATACCAGGCTCGGGTGCTGCTGCTGGAGCTTCCAGTAGGGGAGGAGACAGAGGCAGTTGTAGCACCGGCAGTAGCACCAGTAGTAGCAGCAGCAGCGGCGGCGGCGGCGGCGGCAGCGGCTGCGCTGCGGCGGGCTCGTTCGATCTGCATGCGATGGTGTGCCATGTTGCGGTAGAGCATGGAATAACCCATACCACCATCAGCATCCCCATCCCCATCATCATCATCGTCATCTCCCGCACCCCCCATCCCTTGCCAGAAGCCAGGAAAGCCAGCGGCTGCTTCCCCCTCTCCCACTCCTCCGGGCCCCCCTCCCCCTCCTCCTCCTCGCCCCCCTCCTCCCCCACCAGCACCAGTACCAGCACTCCCCGCACTGCTTGTACCGCTGATTGCAACCATACCCCCCCCGCCCCCAACCCCTATCCCCCCTGTTCCCACACCCTGCCCATACCTCCCCCCACCATCCCCCCCCACGCCAGGGGAGTACCCGCCCCCTCCAGGAAGATGCAGCTGATTGGGCCGCACTCCTCCCCCCGTCCCCCCTCCTCCTCCCCCCGAGAACGAGCCCTCCCACCAGTTGTAACCTGCCATCTGGTTACCACCCCGGCCGCTGCTACTGTTGCTTTGTCGGTGCGATGAGGAGCGGCCTATGCCCCCCCCTCGAGAGGCGGAGGAGGTGGAGTCCGAGAGCTGGAGGGAGGATCGGAGAACGCCTGTGCCTGTGTCACTGCTGCTACCAGCTGCTGCTGCTGCTGTCTCCCCTGCTGCTTCTCCTGCTTCCTCTCCTGCTGCTACAGAAGCACTCACAGAAGAAGCAACAGCAGCAGTAGTGGAAGTGCTGTGAGCAGCAGTAGATGGGGGTGTTGGAGGGGTGCGTGAGGGAGGGGGGGTGGCGGGAGGGAGGGCGGAGGAGGAGGAGGAGGTGGAGGATGGGAGGAGGGAGAGGGGCGGTGTTGCTGCAGTATGGCTGGTGATGGCGGCAAGTGACTGGCTGATGGCTGCAGCATCGGCTGCCTCCCGTTCAGCCACCCGTGCTGCATACGCCTCCTCCTCCTCCTGCCGCATCCGTATCTTGGCTTCGATCACCTTCTGCTCCTCCTGCTCGCGGAGAGAAAAGGGAGGAACCAGCCAACATAGCAAATAACGTGATGCCAAGATGAAAAGAACATGCAGTGTGACGCGCTGCGGTGCGTAAGCCTCCTCCTCCTCCTCCTCCTCCTCCTCCTCCTCCTCCTCCTCCTCCTCCTCCTCCTCCTCCTCCTCCTCCTCCTCCTCCTCCTCCTCCTGCTCAAGATAAAAAAGAGAGGAACCAGGAAACGTAGCAACTAGCCTGATGTGAAGATGAAAAGAACGGGCAACTGGACGGACAGAGCAAGTTTCACACCTTGGGGGCTCAAACAGAGCACCTGCGTTATCACCTCGTTTTTTGAGGCGCCTCAAAAATCGTCACACCTTGGGGGCTCAAACAGAGCACCTGCGTTATCACCTCGTTTTTTGAGGCGCCTCAAAAATCGTCACACCTTGGGGGCTCAAACAGAGCACCTGCGTTATCACCTCGTTTTTTGAGGCGCCTCAAAAATCGTCACACCTTGGGGGCTCAAACAGAGCACCTGCGTTATCACCTCGTTTTTTGAGGCGCCTCAAAAATCGTCACACCTTGGGGGCTCAAACAGAGCACCTGCGTTATCACCTCGTTTTTTGAGGCGCCTCAAAAATCGTCACACCTTGGGGGCTCAAACAGAGCACCTGCGTTATCACCTCGTTTTTTGAGGCGCCTCAGAGATTAATCTATCTGGCTAAACAGCGTACCACGTCCCACTAGTTTCCTCAACCCCTGCAGGGGAAGCAGCGCAACAGCGTTCCACCTCCCACTAGTTTCCTGAACCCGTGCATGCAGGGGAAGCAGCGCAACAGACAGCGTACCTCCATCTCCACGTGCCTCTCCTCTGCGGAGCGCTTCCCCCGGAATTCCACAGAGAACGTTGGGGCCTTGCAAAACGGGCATCTGGAGGTGATGTGCGGTGACAGCAGGTGCGAAGCGATCCGCAGGGGATGAGTGCTCAAGGGGTGATAAGCGGGGGACAGTAAGTAATAAGAGGACAAGGGGTGATAAGCGGTGACAAACAGTCAAAATCGGTCAAGATGTCGGTGACAAACGGTGATAGCAGGGGGTAACACGACATAGATGTTGGGAAAGCCAACTAATCGCCAGAGAGAAAAAAGTGAGAGGAGAGGAGCAGGAGGAGGAAGAAGGAGAGGGTGAGAGAGAAGAGCTGAGGAGGAGAGTGAGCGAGTGCAAAAGAGGTCGTAAGTATGAGGCGAAGCCGAGAGTCTAGTTTTGAGGCGCCTCAAAGTGAGTGCAAAAGAGGTCGTAAGTATGACTTTTGAGTCAACTCGTAAGTATGAGGCGAAGCTGAGAACAGGCGAGGAGGGTGATGCGCAAAAGAAGCAGCAAAAGACGGGAGGGAGGGTGCTCACTGCAGGATGCGTTTTGAGACGTCTCAAAGCAAAAGAATGGAGTGAGGGTGTGCTCACTGCAGGATGCTGGAGGCCGTGGGCGACTTCATTTGAAGGAAGCACTCTGAAAGGTTTGGAGACAAAAAGGGTGTCAGAAAGAATAAACGTGTAACATTAAGATGCCACGCTGCAGATTTCACCTAGATTCGTGAGTGGTTTCCAAGGGGCCACATGTGCAAAAGGAGAGACACCCTGACAGGCATTGCCGAAGGCGAAGGGGCAGAGAGTTTCACTCTTGGGCGTTCTTCAGCTTCAGGAAGCAAGGAGGCGTCACCTGTGCACATGCCCTTCTTGCAGCATCTTGATCGATTCAGGCTTGGATAGTTCTGCCACACCAGCAGGACAACAGGAGGAACGGACGGAGTGGGACACGTACAGCAGGACATCCGTATCGGTACGTGCGTGGCAACATTGTGCAGGGTGTTTTTGAGAATTCTTGAAAAAACCTTGAGAACTCTTTAAAACACCTTGAGAACTCTTAAAAACACCTTGAGAACTCTCAAAAACACCTTGAGAACTCTTAAAAATACCTTGAGAACTCTTAAAAACACCTGGAGAGCTCTTAAAAACACCTTCAGAACTCTTAAAAACACCTTGAGAATTCTCAAAAGCACTGGGCATCGGTACATGAACATTAGTAACAGACGGACACGAAAACCGCATACCAGGAAGCAGATGGGGCACTCGTCGAGGTCGCTGCTGGGGTCGTCGTGGCCCACGTGGCAGGGCGCGAGCTTGCCGTCGAGGATGAGGCGGCGGAGCTTCTTGAGGTCGATGTCGCGGTGCGGGTACAGCCCCTGCGGGTGCGTGTACTGCTCCTCCACCGCATACCGCCGCTTTGCAACCTTGTTGCCCATCGCCCTCAAGTGTGTTACACTTTTTGAGTTTTTCTTTTTCTTTTTCTTTTTCTTTTTTTCGCGAGGCTTGAGACGTTGCAAAAGCGACGCGATGGCGCTAGCCTTTGGAGAATCTCGGAAAGGCAGTAGCAGCGCGCGTGCCGTCGGTGATAAATGAGACTACTCAGCCCTACACGCCATGCGACCCTACTCAGGGAAGGACCACGCGTTAAGCACGGGCCCTCGCAGACGCAGTACTCGAAGCGCCACGCGACCCTACTCAAGTGCGACCCTACTCAAGGAAGGACCACTCGGGCGCCGAACGGTTCGCGGGCCGTCGGCTACCCAGTCCTAGAAACGCCATTCGTCACTATAGTCTGAAATTACAGGAACGCTATCTAGGCCTCAGCCGTCTGACGTGCGACTGCTAGTACAGTCTAACAGTGCACGCCTCAGCGGCCGCCCAGAAAGTTAGGCCCTATCTCTGCTCGCTCAAAAGAGCCTGAGAGGATGCGAATCTGGCGAATCTGGCGAACCTTATAAGAGGATTCTTCGTCGTTTCTCTTATTCTTCCAGTCGCGCTTCGTCTCCGCCGCACGGAGGAGGGAGGGAGGAACTCTAGACCCGAGGATGAATGGGGGACTGAAGAGGGGCGCCTAGCGCCAAGGGAGCAACGGAGAGGGAGCCAGCGGAAAGGGGACCTAACATGAAACGGACAGCCTCCTTGACTCGGAATCCAGTCTACTCGACCACTTTCAGGTGAAGCCTATGACAGGACGACCTAGAGGTTCGTGCGGAACGAAAGAGATGGCTACAAACATGGAGGGTCGCCTCGCCTCGTCTCGCCACCACCCACTTTTTTCCGTGAGAAAGATCCTCAAAATCGAGTCAGGCGGAGTTTCCTAGGAGCGAAAGTGCACCGAAAATAGGTTTGTTGCGTGGCGTGTGCTGGGTTGCTGCTGCTCTGCCTTGGCACGGCACCAGCAAACTCGGACCTCATGAGGTGAGAATATCTAGGAATTGAGTCCGTTTTGAAACGTTTTGAAGCGATGATGAGTGATTCGGCCGAACCTAACGAGCATACTGCAAGTGATTTGCATGGGCTATCTGAAGAAAGGTTTGACCGAAACTGCTCCTGGGCGCAAGGCGGCGGAGCAAACCAGGCCTTGAGGCTTGGTTGGGGATTTTCTCCGTTATCAGCAGGGAGAGGCAACATGCTATTTGACGGAACATTTTTCACAGTAAAAAGAAACTTTATTCGACTTGGAAAAGAAGTGCGTGCAGGATATGTGACAGAAACGAGAGATTCATTACACCCTGGTCCTCGAGAAAACCGAACAGGGTTGCTTGGAACACCTCCTCTCTTAGTCTCCACCACCCCTTAGTGCTGAACTCTCTAAACCCCTCGGCCTAAGTCCCACCGTGATTCACGCAGGTTGTTGGTCATCCTGTCGACCAGCCTGATCCCATCGGGTTGCTCTTCAGTATCGGTTCATTGGCAGCCAGTAGACTTCAGTCATCTCGTGACTGGGCTATCGTCTCCTCTCAGACGATCTGTGTTTTCCGTAGGAGGCTTTCGTCGATCCTTTAGGGTGTGCCGCCATGGGGACGAAACTTCCACCGAAAGAGGCCAACCAGTTCAAGCTTATCGTGGTGCGTAGGCCTAGATTCACTTGCTCTATTCTGACCTAGTTTCTGAATGTCAGTCTTCCCTAGTCCATCCAGGCATCGGAAGAAGTGTCGTTGTGAATATTGAAATAGGCTCCGACCGAAAGGCTTTCTTAGCCTTTTTGTTAATCATAGTGGTTACGGTAACGCTCTTTCCTCACTCTGTTCTTTCTGATCGTCCTGCATTGGTGGATTTCCGTCACGTCCTGCATTTGATCGGGGTTTTACTTTCTTAAGTGCTTCCAGTGCCGAAGGGTAGAATGAGCAGCCATCTAGATCGTTTTCCCCGTCTCCAGTTGATTTATTCTATTTTAAGGAGCGGTTGGTGGTTAGATAGCAGCGAATCCTATCAATACGTGAAATGTTTGACATTCACCACTCTTGGAGCCATCCTTTGCATGATGCTCGCAGAAGCAGAAGTGGAACGAGACGGAAGCAATACAATAAATGCTTCTTTTTCCTCTTCCTTGGCAATGCCTTCCCTCCTCTTCTCTTGTCTTCTCTCCTCCCTTCCGGCCCCTCTCTCATACCATCCCATCCCCCGTATAGGCAGAAATCATTAGCAGTAAAAGAAGGGACTCTTAATCTCCCTGTCCCCTCCCCCAATCCATCCCCCGTATAAGCAGAAATCGTACGAGACGAAGCAGTACAAGAAGGGACTCAAGGCTGCCGATGCTATCCTCAAGAAATTCCCGGACCATGGCGGTATGCATAATGCACGCACGGATTGGGGGGGTTGTGCTTGCTTGTATTTGCCTCCAGAGAAATCTGGAGGCAACTTAAGAGTCAACAGTCAGCCGTTTCACCGGGTTGTGGTGGTGCTCGTACCGTTTCCTTGCGTGTGTTTATTTCACCTTTCCAGCCATAATATCTGTCCGTCAGAATCCGTGATGTCAGTCAGGCCCTCTCTCAGTGCGATAAGCTGCAATGCGTTATTTTATAGCACGATTGACAAAGCTTCGTATCCCCTGGATCAACTCCCTCAGAGGCCCTGGGGTGAGAATGAGCTCTAACGGGTGCCTCTGTAACGAATCTTCTCTTTTCGCGGCCCCCCACAGAGACCCTGGCGATGAAGGGTCTGATAATGAACTGCATGGAGAAGAAGACGCAGGCATATGAGCTCGTGCGCAAGGGCCTCAAGGTATGAGCTCGAGTTTTATTTTTTTGGCACTGGCTTGATTTGAGCAGGGGCCTTTCTAAATGGCATCTCTATCCCCCTCGTCTCCCTGCCGTACTCTGAACGAACTGTCTTTTCCAGTCCCTTTTTTTTTCTCCTGTGTTCTGTGATCAGCCAGAGTGCCACCCCCTTGCTCCTTTTCCTTATCTGCCAATTCCTCTTTTTTCATCCTTCAGTTCGACCTGTCGTCGCACGTGTGCTGGCACGTGTACGGGCTGCTCTACCGCTCGGACCGGGAGTACCGCGACGCCATCAAGTGCTACCTGAACGCTCTGCGCATCGACCCGCAGAACCAGCAGATCCTCAAGGACCTCTCGCTGCTGCAGGTGGGTCGAGAACTCATGTGGAGCCCGTTTAAATTAAACACGTTGAACAGTGCTCTCGAGTGCTACCTGAATGCTCTGCCTGCACATCGACCTGCAGAACCAGCAGATCCTCAAGGACCTCTTGCTGCTGCAGGTGATTCGCACATGCCTTCTGACATTCTCTCTTCTGGCATTCTCTCTTCTGGCATTCTCTCGTCTGACATTCTCTCGTCTGACATTCTATCGTCTGACATTCTCTCTTCTGACATTCTCTCGTCTGACATTCTCTCTTCTGGCATTCTCTCTTCTGGCATTCTCTCGTCTGACATTCTCTCGTCTGACATTCTCTCGTCTGACATTCTCTCTTCTGGCATTCTCTCGTCTGACATTCTCTCTTCTGACATTCTCTCGTCTGACATTCTCTCGTCTGACATTCTCTCGTCTGACATTCTCTCGTCTGACATTCTCTCGTCTGACATTCCACCTGCTCTACGATCATTGGGCTTCTGTAGATACCTTCGTCTGATCTGTTTCCTGGTTGTTAGGGGGGGGAAGGAGGGGGAGGGCGGGGTCTGCGATTGTCTTGATTTCGTGAGTCAAGGCAGCTTTGGTGGCTGGCTGGCTCCCCCATGTCGTAGCTGTGCAGCTGACTTGTGAGTCGACTCAAAAGCTGGCTCCCATGTCATAGCTGTGCACTGCACAGTCTGCAGCTTGCCATGTTTCGTGCATGCTTGCTGGTCTGTCTCGTTGTTTGTTTGTCTGTTTTTTTTCTTCACGCAGGTTCAAATGCGGGACACGGCTGGCTGTGTGGAGTCGAAGTGGCGGTTGCTGACCCACGTGCTTGACTCACCGACCTAACGCCCCCTACTCCCCTCCCCGCCTCCCCCTAAAATACTGCAGGTTCAAATGCGGGACATGGCTGGCTGTGTGGAGTCGAGGCGGCGGTTGCTGATCCACGTGCTTGACTCACCTCGTCACCTAACGCCCCCTCCTCCCCCCCTCCTCCTCCCCCTGAAATATTGCAGGTTCAAATGCGGGACACGGCTGGGTTTGTGGAGTCGAGGCGGCAGCTGCTGACCTTCAAGCCCAACCACCGCGCCAATTGGCTCGCCTTTGCAGTCGCCAACCACATCAACGGCAGGTGGGGTGGGGGGAGGATGGTGGGTGGGTTAAGCGCCGTCAGCCTATGAGGGAAGCTTGCAGGATGAGTGGCCAATACCTTGTGTTGCCTGCCACCACCATACGTTCCTTCTCCTTTCCATGCATGCCACCGCATGCCACCGCTTACCACCTTGCATTTCTCTGTATGCTTACCATCCCGCCATGCCACCGCATGCCATCCCACTATGCAGGCTGGACGTGGCGGCCAAGATACTGTCAGCCTACGAGGGCACTCAGGAGGATGAATCGGTGCCGGATGGGGAGAAGTACGAGCACAGCGAGATGCTGCTGTATAAGGTAACGTTGCTATAAATGGCAATTGATATCAATAGATATGCCTGCCAGACCCTGTCTAAGGGCATGCTGGATGGAGGATGCACTTGTGCCTTATGGGGAGAAGTACGAGCATGGCGGGATGTTACTGTATGAGGTAAAGCTGCTATAAATGGCAAACCTTCATGCTGCTTTCACCCTTGCTTGCTCCATCCCCCCTTAACGCGCACCACTCCTCGTCCATTACCCCTTAACGCACATCACTCCTCGTCCATCACCCCTTACCGCACATCACTCCTCGTCCATCACCCCTTACCGCACATCACTCCTCGTGCATTCCCCCTTACCGCACATCACTCCTCGTGCATTCTCCCTTCCCGCACGTGTCTCTGTTGGCGGATGCAGACAGGCACAAGGAGGCTCTAGACGAACTCAATAGGCAGCAGTGGCTACTGAACGCCCAATACCACGCCACTTCCATCACCGCTTACCGCATATCACCCCTCCCTCATCCCCCCTTACCGCATGTCACCCCTCTTCCATCCCCCCTTCTGGAGGTGTCTCTGTTGGCAGAAGCAGGCCGGCACAAGGAGGCTCTGGACGAGCTCAGCAAGAAGCCATGGTTACTAAGCGCCTCATACCACGCCTGTTCCACCCCCTTACTGAGTATCACTCCTCCTCTATCCCCTCTCACCGCAGGTGTCTCTGCTGGCAGAGGCAGGGAAGCACAAGGAGGCGCTAGACGAGCTCAGCAAGAAGCAGGCGCGCATTGTGAGTCAAGGGATGAGGGATGAGGGATGGGGCATGGGGCATGGGGGATGTGACATTTGGCATGGGGCATGGGGCATGGGGTGTGTGGGATGCATCATACATGCACGATGCAAGAGTAAAGTCGTACCTCACACCACACACCACCCCACACCCCAAGCACGGTAGCAAGGCATGTTGTCTGAGCAGCGCTGCTAGCATTGCTCCCCTTTTTAACAACTTGCCCCGAAAAGTCGCTGCTTCCGGAAGTGAGTGTGCCTGCTTTCGAGTCGCCTCAAAAGGTGACTTTCGAGTCGCCTCAGAAGTCACTGCTCCCCTTTTTTATATCTTGCTCCGGAAAGCCGCTGCTCTGGAAGTGCGTACACGCCCGCTTTCTGTCTCCCAATCACCACTTCTCCACTTCCCATGTGTCCCTCGCGTTGCAGGTGGACAAGCTGGGAGTGAGGGAGCAGAGGGCGGAGCTGTTGCACCTTGTAGGCAGCAACGAAGAGGCTAGAAGCGAGTACGAGGCGCTGCTGGCAATCAACCCGGACAACTACAAGTACTACGAGGGTCTCCAGGCGTGCATGGGGCTCAAGCCTGCCTCAGATGGCACCTACACGCCAGAGCAGCTGCAGCGGCTATCGGATCTGTTCCAAGGACTGCAGGAGAAATACCCCAAGTCCGCTGCTGCTAAGGTAATGAGACCCAGGCACGCGGCAGCAGCCGCTCATTTGTTGTTGCAAAAACAGTTTGCCGCCGATTCTCAGTTTGCCGCCAAGTCAGTTCTCATTATCTCAGCCGTAGGTGATTTTGCCGCTCATTGAGTCGACCCAAAAATGATTCTCATTATCTCAGCCGCAGGTCATTCTCATTTTCATTATTTGAGTCGACTGAAAAGCAAGAATGATTCTCATTATCTCAGCCGCTCTGCTTTCAAACCCGCACTGCGTCGCTTGCGTACATACAATACAAGCCGCCATGCCTTTACACACTCTACCATCCACTCCTCTCCCCCCGTCCTTTCCACCCCTTGCCCCCTCCCCCCTTTCCCCTCCCCCCTTTCCCCTCCCCCCTTTCCCCTGCCCCCTCCCCTCGCCCCCATGCTCTTCACTCAGAGAATACCGCTGGACTTCCTGCAAGGGGAGGAGTTTGAGGCGGCTCTGAAGCCCCATGTGAGGCGGTTCATCCGCAAGGGCATTCCCTCCCTGTTCTCAGACCTCGACCCGCTATACGACCAGCCGGGGAAGGTGAGGAGAGGGGGGAAGTGAGGGGAGAGGCGAGGGGAGGGGAGGGGGGAAGTGAGGGGAGAGGGGAGGGGAGGGGAGGGGGAAAGTGCGGTGGTGATCCGAGGTGCAAGGGCTTTCCATTCCTGTTCTCTGCCCTCGACCCGCCATACGACCAGCCGGGGAAGGTGAGGAGAGGGGGGAAGTGAGGGGAGAGGCGAGGGGAGGGGAGGGGGGAAGTGAGGGGAGAGGGGAGGGGAGGGGAGGGGGAAAGTGCGGTGGTGATCCGAGGTGCAAGGGCTTTCCATTCCTGTTCTCTGCCCTCGACCCGCTATACGACCAGCCGGGGAAGGTGAGGAGAGGGGGGAAGTGAGGGGAGAGGCGAGGGGAGGGGAGGGGGAAAGTGCGGTGGTGATCCGAGGTGCAAGGGCTTTCCATTCCTGTTCTCCCCCCTCGACCCGCGATACGACCAGCCGGGGAAGGTGAGGAGTTGAATTTAGAATGGAGATGAATTGACCGAATCTGCAGGGGTGGGAAGATGAATCGATCCAAGGTCGAGTCAGTTGAGGGGCGTTCCCTCCCTGGCTTTTGACGTCGAGCCATGTGAGAGACAACGCTGTTTTTGCCAGCGGGAGGAGACGACCTGAGAAGGAAGGAACGTGAATCGGCCAAGGTTGAGTCAGTTGAGGGACGTTTCCTCCCTGCTTTTGACATCGAGCCGCCGTACGACACGACCAGCCAGGGTGAGGAGATGACCTGAGAAGGAACATGAATCGGTCCAAGAGGCAAGGGTGGGAAAGATGACTTGCTTGTGAGCCGATTCAAGGGCATCCCCTTTCTGTTCTCGGACACAGAACAGCCAGGGAAACGACCTGAGGTGCAAGGGCATTCCCTCTCTGTTGTCAAACACACAACCACTAGACGACCTGGGGCTGGGGAAGGTAAGGAGGTGCATGCTTGGTGATTTGTGAGGGTTTAAGAGGCGCAAAAATCACCTCGAGGCACAAGGGCGGTCCCTCTCTGTCCTTTGATAGAGAGCCGCTATACGACCAGCTGGGGAAGGTAAGGAGGTGCATGCTTGGTGGGGAGATGGGCATGGTAACAGCTAGCTGTTACTCTATCCCTTTCATGTGCCTTCCCTTAGATACCCCCTCCCTCTTCCTCCCCTCACTCTAAGGCCGGCATCATGGACCGTGTATTCACAAAAATGCTCGACTCCATTCGCTCCTCCCGCCATACAGGGCCTTCTTCCCCGCCTGTCCCCCCACACAAAGCCTTCTTCCCCCGCCTGTCCCCCCACTCAAAGCCTTCTTCCCCCGCCTGTCCCCCCACACAAAGCCTTCTTCCCCCGCCTGTCCCCCCACACAAAGCCTTCTTCCCCCGCCTGTCCCCCCACACAAAGCCTTCTTCCCCCGCCTGTCCCCCCACACAAAGCCTTCTTCCCCCGCCTGTCCCCCCACTCAAAGCCTTCTTCCCCCGCCTGTCCCCCCACACAAAGCCTTCTTCCCCCGCCTGTCCCCCCACACAAAGCCTTCTTCCCCCGCCTGTCCCCCCACACAAAGCCTTCTTCCCCCGCCTGTCCCCCCACACAAAGCCTTCTTCCCCCGCCTGTCCCCCCACACAAAGCCTTCTTCCCCCGCCTGTCCCCCCACTCAAAGCCTTCTTCCCCCGCCTGTCCCCCCACACAAAGCCTTCTTCCCCCGCCTGTCCCCCCACACAAAGCCTTCTTCACCCGCCTGTCCCCCCACACAAAGCCTTCTTCCCCGCCTGTCCCCCCACACAAAGCCTTCTTCCCCCGTCTGTCCCCCCACACAAAGCCTTCTTCCCCCGCCTGTCCCCCCACACAAAGCCTTCTTCCCCCGCCTGTCCCCCCACACAAAGCCTTCTTCCCCCGCCTGTCCCCCCACTCAAAGCCTTCTTCCCCCGCCTGTCCCCCCACACAAAGCCTTCTTCCCCCGCCTGTCCCCCCACTCAAAGCCTTCTTCCCCCGCCTGTCCCCCCACTCAAAGCCTTCTTCCCCCGCCTGTCCCCCCACTCAAAGCCTTCTTCCCCCGCCTGTCCCCCACACAAAGACTTCTTCCCCCGCCTGTCCCCCCACACAAAGCCTTCTTCCCCCGCCTGTCCCCCCACACAAAGCCTTCTTCCCCCGCCTGTCCCCCCACACAAAGCCTTCTTCCCCCGCCTGTCCCCCCACACAAAGCCTTCTTCCCCCGCCTGTCCCCCCACTCAAAGCCTTCTTCCCCCGCCTGTCCCCCCACTCAAAGCCTTCTTCCCCCGCCTGTCCCCCCACACAAAGCCTTCTTCCCCCGCCTGTCCCCCCACACAAAGCCTTCTTCCCCCGCCTGTCCCCCCACTCAAAGCCTTCTTCCCCCGCCTGTCCCCCCACACAAAGCCTTCTTCCCCGCCTGTCCCCCCACACAAAGCCTTCTTCCCCCGCCTGTCCCCCCACACAAAGCCTTCTTCCCCCGCCTCTCCCCCCACTCAAAGCCTTCTTCCCCCGCCTCTCGTCCCACACAAAGCCTTCTTCCCCCGCCTCTCCCCCCACTCAAAGCCTTCTCCCCCGCCTCTCCCCCCTCCCCTCCCTCTCAGGCTGACATCATGGACCGTGTGTTCACAGAAATGCTCGACTCCATTCGCTCCTCGGGAAAACTCCCTCCTCTCAGGTGCGTTCACTGGCTTGTAGGACTTCCTTTGCACAGGTGGCTTGTAGGACTTCCTTTGCACAGGTGGCTTGTTGGACTTCCTTTGCACAGGTGGCTTGTTGGACTTCCTTAGCACAGGTGGCTTGTTGGACTTCCTTTGCACAGGTGGCTTGTTGGACTTCCTTTGCACAGGTGGCTTGTAGGACTTCCTTTGCACAGGTGGCTTGTCGGACTTCCTCTATTGCTTTCCCATGTATGTTTGCTCCTGCTTCCTGGTGTATGCATCGGCTTCCCTTGTCGCGGCCTGTATAAGCTCAACTTGTTGTGTTCGATCTATGTACCTGGTTGGATGGAGAAAAGGGCGCTGCAAGGCATTCCACCCGGCTTCCTTTGACACCGTGTGGTTCAGTCAACGTGGGCTCATGTCATGTTTTGCTCTGTCCTGACCTTGTGTTCTTATGACCTTGTGTTCTTATGACCTTGTGTTCTTATGACCTTGTGTTCTTATGACCTTGTATTCTTATGACCTTGTTTTCTTATGACCTTGTCCGTTCTGTGATTTGCTTGCTGCCGCCTCTCCTGTTTCCGTCCCTCCAGTGACACGTCAGCAGAAGAGGACAAAGAAAACCCCTCGGTGCTTCTCTGGCTGCTATATCTGATGGCGCAGGTATCTACTCTATTGTCCTGTTTGATTCCTGGGTAACTCATGCTAGTGGCTCAGGATAATTGTTGAAAGTTTTTTTTTTTCCTCTTTTAAGATTCATTCAGGCATGGAAACGGCGTTACACGCAAGAAATGTCCCCGCACTCTCCCCTTTTGTCCTCATTCGCAGCATCTAGACAGGCGAGGCAAGGTGGAGGAGGCTCTGGAGATTGTGAACGAGGCGATCACTCACACGCCCACACTTATGGATGCCTACCTTGTCAAGGTGCGCAGGAATCTGAATCCAGAACCCCTCTACCATAACCTTGCGCATCGATCATTGATCTCTTTCATAGGAAACCCTTGCACCCTTGCACCCTAGAACCCTAGATTTCTGTGTTCTTGCCGCTGCCCTAGAAGCCTTTGCTCTTCTGATCCGCATTCTATCTCAGACCTCCCTCACCCATGGGCCCTACGTGCTGAGCCTGCGCCTGCATGCACGCATTCTAGACAGGCCAGGTGACTTCACAGCAGCAGCGGGGTTGGCGTGCCGGCACGCTCTAGGTAGGCAGGCATGGCACACCCTGCCTCGTCCCATCCTCTCCCCAAGCACCTCTCTCATTCAAGAATGCGCGCTTCCAGGGGCGCATCCTGGGGAGGGCAGGTGACTTCACATCAGCAGCACGGCTGGCAATGCCTTAACTCACAGACAGCACCCCCCCCCCCCCCCCCCCCCCCCCTCTTTCCGCCTCTCCCCCTCCTCTCCCCCTATTTCTCCCTTCTTCCAGGCTCGCATTCTGGAAAGGGCGGGTGACTTCACAGCAGCAGCACGGCTGGCAGACGAGGCCAGAAGCCTGGACCTAGCGGACAGATACCTCAACTCAGAGGCGGTCAACCACATGCTCAAGGCGGACCAGGTAGGGCCCGGTGTGATCAGGTACGGTTTGGTGGGAACAAATACGGTTTATTATGATCAGGTACGGTTTTGTGGGATCAGGTACGGCTTGTTGCGATCAGTTACATGTTGAATCAGTATTCTCCCAGGTAGGGATCTACCAGACAGATACTGCAATTCAAAGGCGGTCAGCCACATGCTCAAGAAGGCGGAGCAGGTAGGGTTGGAGGAGAGGAGAGAAGGGGTGATTGACAATGCATCGGATTTGGTGAGAGGAGAGCAGAGCCCAGGGATCTGGCAGACAGATACGTCAACTCAGAGGCTTTATACTACATGCTCAAGGGTGGAATGTTCTAGAGAAGCATACTTCAGTGGACGCAAAAGGCGCCTCATCGGCCTAGAGTTGTGTTTTAGGACTGGTGTGTCTGTTTACAGACAGACGGCTTAGAATGACCAGCATCTCCCCTCCCCCCTCTCCCTCTCTCCGTTCCGTGTGTTCACTCCCCCCTGCTCCGTGTGTTCTCTTCCCCCTGCTCCGTGTGTTCTCTTCCCCCTGCTCCGTGTGTTCTCTTCCCCCTGCTCCGTGTGTTTGCTCACTGTTTGCCCAGGTGGATCTGGCGGAGAAGATGGCAGCACTGTTCGCCACCACGCTCAGGATTAGGCTGACTGCATGTATGTCCCACAAGGAAACAAAACACGCTCCCCTCCCCCCCCGCCCCCTCCCCCCTCCCCCATATGGTTGTGCCTGCCCAGGTGGACCTGGCGGAGAAGACGGCAGCACTGTTCACCAAGCATGGCGACCAGCATGAGAACCTCTTCGACATGCAGTGCATGTGGTGGGTGGCATGTGGTGGGTGGGTGGGATGTCATGTGATTGATGTGGTATGTGTGATGTGGTGTGAGCGTGTGGTGTGTGTCATGTGACGATGCATGTGGTATGTCTCATGTGATGTGGTGCATGTGGTGGTGCATGTGGTGCATGTGGTGCATGTGACGATGCGTGTGGTGCATGTGGTGCATGTGACGATGCGTGTGGTGCATGTGGTGCATGTGGTGATGCGTGTGGTGCATGTGGTGCATGTGACGATGCGTGTGGTGCATGTGGTGATGCGTGTGGTGCATGTGGTGCATGTGACGATGCATGAGGTGCATGTGACGATGCATGTGGTGCATGTGGCGATGCATGTACTGCATCTCCCCTCCACCTCGTTCTGTATCTTGCTTTCATGACACATGATCCCTCCCATCCCTCCCATCCCTCCCATCCCTCCCATCCCTCCCATCCCTCCCATCCCTCCCATCCCTCCCATCCCTCCCATCCCTCCCATCCCTCCCATCCCTCCCATCCCTCCCATCTAGACATGAGCACGGGGCGAGGCGAGGATTCCTTGACTCGAGGATCTCATCCTCGCGCCCTAGCCGAGGCGGGTCGAGGAATCCTCGCCGAGGATTTTTCATGAAAATCCCCCCTCGACCCCCGGGTTTTGGGGTCGAGGATTGAAATCCTCGCCTCGAGGATTAATTCCTTGACCCGGGGCGAGGATTCCTTGACCTGGGCGGCTGGGGGGTTAGGGGGAGAGGGGTAATGGGAACATCCTCGCCCATTTGCCTCGAGGAAAAATCGAGGCCTCGAATCCTCGCCGAGGCGGGGCGAGGAATCCTCGCGAGGATTTTTCCCAGAAAACCTGCCTCGACCCCCGGAATTTCGAGGCGAGGATTTCCGAGGCGAGGAAATCCTCGCCTCATTGCTCATGTCTCCCATCCCTCCCATCCCTCCCATCCCTCCCATCCCTCCCATCCCTCCCATCCCTCCCATCCGTTCCATTCCATCTCATTCACCAGGTACATGCAGCAGAAGAACTAGTTTTGAGGCGCCTCAAAACTAAACCATTCCATTCACCAGGTACATGCGGCAGAAGAACTACGGGCGGGCTCTCAAGAACTATGGGCGGGCTCTCAAGAACTATGGGCGGGATCTCAAGAACTATGGGCGGGCTTTGACAAAGCAAATATGGTTCTTCCCCCTGTGTGTGTCTGGCCGTGCTGCCTGTCAGGTACGAGCTGGCGAGTGGCGACAGCTACATGCGGCAGAAGAACTACGGGCGGGCTCTCAAGAATTACCTCGCCCTGCACAAGCATTACAACGACATGGTCAGTGGTGCTTGGGGTGTGACATGGTCAGTGGCGCTTGGGGTGTGACATGGTCAGTGGCGCTTGGGGTGTGACATGATCAGTGGCGCTTGGGGTGTGACATGATCAGTGGCGCTTGGGCTGTGACATGGTCAGTGGTGCTTGAGTACGCAAGACGGCAAGACGACAAGATGGCACGATGTTATGGAGGGCATAGATGACAACAAAGACTCTTGTTCTTACAAACATCGGAACCCCCCTCCCCACTCCCTTCCCCCCCCTCCGTCCCCCTTCTCCCCTTGCACCACACCCAGGTGGAACAAAGACTCCGGCTACATCGGAAATCCTCAGGTGGAGGGCCAGTTTGACGTCACACCTGCTGCTACTGCTTGTGGCCACACTGCGGTAGCTGTACACCTTCCCCTACTCCTGCCAGGGGGTCGTTGGGGGTGTGCGGCGCCACGCGGGGCCTGTGCGGTGCCAAGCTGCGCTGTGCGGTGCGAGCGGGGTGTTGCCTGGTGCGATGACTCCCCTCTCTTTCACCCCACTTTCCAGCTACCCCCTCCCAGGTGGAGGTCCAGTTTGACTTCCACACCTACTGCCTCCGCAAGATGACTCTACGGGCTACGTGGCGACGCTGCGGTGGGAGGACCAGCTGCACGCCTTCCCCTTCTTCTGCCAGGGGGCTGTTGGCACTCGGGGCCATGGGAGCCATCAACTGCTACATGGAACTGTGCAGTGCCACTCGGTGCTGTGCGGTGTGAGCGTGGTGTTGTCTGGTGCGATGACTCCCCCCCCACCTGCCCCCCCTCTCTCTCTCTCTCTCTCTCTCTCTCTCTCTCTCTCTCTCTCTCTCTCTCTCTCTCTCTCTCTCTCTCTCTCTCTCTCTCTCCTCTTTTCTGTGTCATGCGCAGGTGGAGGACCAGTTCGACTTCCACACCTACTGCCTGCGCAAGATGACCCTACGAGCCTACGTGGCGACGCTGCGGTGGGAGGACCATCTGCACGCCTTCCCCTTCTTCTGCCAGGGGGCCGTGGGGGCCATCAACTGCTACGTGGCACTGCATGATAGGCCGGTGGTGAAGGCAGAGGCTAAGGAGGAGGAGAAGGGCAGGATGAGTGTGGCTGAGAAGAAGCGCCTGCAGAAGGAGCAGCGGAGGAAGAAGGTGCGAGAATGGGGGAAGCGTGGGATGCAGGGAGCAGGTTGCAATGCTTGAAAAGACGCCTCGTAAGCTATGCTTTTTTAGTCGACTCAAAAATCACCTTGAAAAGACACCTCATAAGCTATTTTTTGCGGCTTTCCAGTAGGTGTTTCTTCAACTTTTCTGAAGCCCTCCTCTCCCCCCCCCCCTCTACAACCCCCCCCCCCCCCTTCTGCTCATTCGAGCCTTCTTTCGTTGTAAGACCTCCCCCTGTGCCCTCCTGCTCAAAAGCATCTAATGACAAATGAGCTCGAATGAGCCTCCATTTCTCAACCCTCCCCCTGTGCCCCCCTGCTCCTTCCCCTCCTCTCATTTCCGGGTAAGCAGGAGGAAGAGGAGGCGGCTGCAGCAGCTGCAGCGGCGGCAGCAGCAGCAGCAGCAGCCAAGGCGGCCAAGAAGGGAGGCTCGGCCAAGCCTGTGGATACCGACCCTGACGGGGTGAAGCTGACTGAGGTGGAGGACAAGCTGTCCGAGGCCTCGAAGCACCTCTCCCTGCTGCTGGAGCATGCTGGCTCCGAGCTCTCCTCGCTCCAAGTGGCCTTTGAAGTCTTCTCCCGGAAAAAGAAGCTGCTGCTGTGCCTGCAGGTGGGTCTTTGTCACTCATCATCAGACTGGAAGGGTAGCGGTACTAAGAGAAATGCTTGAGCAAAAAAGTACACAAGTTTACGAGTACCTTTCAGGAGAGAGTGAAAAGCAGAACCCTTTCGCGCCGAGCACTTGTCGTTTGAAGTGGCGCTTGAAGTCTCTTTCCGGAATAAGAAGCTCCTGCTGCTGCTGTGCCTGTAGTTGAGTCTTTGGGCGACTCAGCAGTACTAAACTAGCAGCTGCTGTTGTGCCTGTAGCAGACATGATTGTATTTTATGGTTTAAGAATTGTTTTTTGCCTGGTAACTGACTTGACATTGTGACTAAAGACTGTTGCGGTGGCAACTCGATTCTACAGGCACATAGATGGCAACTCTATTCACCTTCCATGCATAACCACCCAATTCGTCCCCTCTCGCCCCTCCCATGTGTCTACATGATGGCACAACAGGTGGTGCGGCGGTTGCTGAAAGAACATCCAGAAGCGCCCCTCACACACTCGTGCCTGGTACGTGCACCTGTGAAATCTCTCACTCACAGGTCGGGTGCACGCTTAGGCGCGCGCTAGGTGCACGCTTAGGCGCGTGCTAGGTGCACGCTTAGGCGCGTGCTAGGTGCACGCTTAGGCGCGCGCTAGGTGCACTCTTAGGCGCGCGCTAGGTGCACGCTTAGGCGCGCGCTAGGTGCACGCTTAGGCGTGCGCTAGGTGCACGCTTAGGCGCGCGCTAGGTGCACGCTTAGGCGCGCACTAGGTGCACGCTTAGGCGTTGTTATGATGAGACACCCCAAAGGAATAAAATCGTGATGCGCCCCTCACACACTTGTGCCTGGTATGTGTGCATGCGACTTTTTCAATCAGTCGTGTGTGGCTCTGCTTTTCCCCATCGTTCAATCCTTTGCCTCCCCCCCCTCCCCCCCCCTCCTCCCTCTCCCCCCCTTGCTTTGAGGAGTCTATTTTTGAGGCACCTAATGTTTCAATCCTTTGCCTCCCCCCTTCCCCCACTCCTCCCCCCTGTTGCTTTGACGAGTCTATTTTTGAGGCATCTAATATTTCAATCCTTTACGTCCCCCACCCCCCCTTCCCCCGGTTGCTTTGCTTTGCCTCCTTGCTTTGCCTCTTTGCTTTGCTGGTCCTCGACCCGGATTTCAGGTTCGTTTCTTCCTGACAGTGAGGGACCTACCTCCGGCAGAATCGGAATCGGATAAAATCGTCCGGGCAGTGATCGATGCCGAGAGGGCAGATCTGGGGTGAGTCACAGAAGAGTTGGAGAGGGGGTGGGGGGGTGATGGAGAGTTATATGTGGGGGGGCAAAAGGGGTGCTGGAGAGTTATATGTGGGGGGGCAAAAGGGGTGCTGGAGAGTTATATGTGGGGGGGCAAAAGGGGTGCTGGAGAGTTATATGTGGGGGGGCAAAAGGGGTGCTGGAGAGTTATATGTGGGGGGGCAAAAGGGGTGCTGGAGAGTTATATGTGGGGGGGCAAAAGGGGTGCTGGAGAGTTATATGTGGGGGGGCAAAAGGGGTGCTGGAGAGTTGGGCACAGACATTAGGGCTTGTTGGGTGGTTGGGTGTAGTTGGAATGGGTGAAAATGGGAGTGCGTTGGAGCAGCAGGAGTGCACTTACGGGCTGCTTTTGCTTGATCTCTCATTTCCCTCTCCCAACACACTTCCCCCTCCCAGCACATTTCGCCCCCTAACACATTTCCCCCTCCCAGCACATTTCGCCCCCTAGCACACTTCCCCCTCCCAACACATAGTCCCTGCCTGCCCCCTCCTGGCCGCTGCTCCCCCCACTCTGCCACCAGTCTATCGGACGACCTCGCAGCCAGCCTGCAACAACGAAACGAGGCCTTCCTGGAAGCACACAAAGGTACTCCTGGGGGATGCTTTAGAGTCGACCAAAAAAACACAAAGGTACGCCTGGGGGATGCTTTAGAGTCGACCAAAAAACACAAAGGTATGCCCGGGGGATGTTTTGGAGTCGACCGAAAAACACTAACGTGCGCATGGGGGATGCCTTTGAGTCGACTAAAAGACACAAAGGTAGCCTGGGGGATGCTTTAGAGTCGCCAAAAAACACTAAGGTGCGCATGGGGGATGCTTGTGAGTCGACTAAAAGACACAGAGGTACGCCTGGGGGATGCTTTAGAGTCAACCAAAAAACACTAAGGTGCGCATGGGGGATGCATTTGAGTCGACTAAACGACACTAAGGTATGCCTGGGGGATGCTTTAGAGTCGACTTAATAACACAAAGGCACGACTGGGGAATTTCCCCCTACCCTATGTACCCTCCCTCATCCCTGTTCGCCTCGTTTGTCAACAGGATTTCTTCGTCTAATCCTCGTTTCTTCTTCGTTCCTTCCTTCCCTACTCCTTTCCGCCATTGAACGGTATTTTTGAGAATTCTCAAAAATACTCCGCCATTGAACGGTATTTTTGAGAATTCTCAAAAATACTCCGCCATTGAACCTCCTCCGCTCCTCGTTTCCTCTCCTCTCCTCTCCTCCCCACGCCCACAGATAGTTTGCCTCACAGGGCAGCAGCGGCGGCAGCCATGGCAATGCTAGACACAGGTCTGAAGGCACGCGCCATCGCTGTGATTCACGAGTCAGAAGAGCCACTTGCCAAGAGGTGCGGATGGCACTTTAGGAAGAGTTAGCCATTTGGGCAGCAGCAGCAGCAGCAGCAGCAGCAGCGGAGGCGACTGCAATGCTAGAGTGCTGTGATTCTCTTTCTCAAGTTCGAAGTTTTGTGCTCTTTTCTCTGTATAGAGACACGCTTATCCTGATGAGCTCTCCCCCTTTCCCCCTGTACACACTTCTTGTTCCCTCCAGTGGCGGTGCACTAGCGGAGGGAGTGGGAGAGTGGTCCCTGGACGAGTGTGCCGCAGTGCTCCGATTGCTGCAGGAGGGGCCTCTAGCAGATGAGGCTGGTGCACAGAGTGAGTTGTGTGATCCAGTGGATTCAGGTTCTCTGTATGGAAGTTCCCGTGTTTTATGAATCCTGCAACACCACCACACCGCCATAGGAGTTACATCTTCTACCCCCTCTCCCAGCAGCAGCAGGTGACTTTTTGAGCTGATTCAAAAGTCATAAGTCACCTCAACAACACCACGCCACCATACAAAGCGCACCTTCCACCCCCTCTCCCAGCAGCAGCAGGGCTTCCCGTCCCTCCACCTTTCCCTGCCTTATCCCCACTCCCACGATGGAATGACCGATATGCCCAGCGCTTTCCTTACTTGCAGCCCTTCGAGGGCAGCAAGAGCCATCCTATCTCACGCCTTCCCCTCCTCTTGCGTCTCTCCTTATCTCCCATCTCCCCTCTCAGGCAGGAAGGACCCATGTGCCTAGCGCTTCCCCGCGCTTCCCCGTGCTTCCCCGTGCTTCCCAGCGCTTCCCCTACTCGCATCACAGAGAGCGCAGCAGAAGCTTCTTCTTACCCCACCCCTTCCTTCCCCGTCTTTCCGCCTTCCCCTCCTCCTTTCCCCCCTCCACTCCCTCACCCCAGGATGGAAGGACCGGTGTGCGCAGCGCTTCCCCTATTCACAGCATTTCAAGGGCAGCAAGAGCTCAGTGAAGGCCCCACCGCCAGTGAAGGATGAGGGGGAGGAGGAGGGCGACGAGGGGAGTGCTGCTGGCTCTGCCGCTAGGGCGAATGGAGTAGTGGAGTAGGAGGGGTGGCTTTTGTAACATCTTGACTTTTGAGTCGACTGGGGTGGTGGGAGTTGGAGGGGAGGAGGGCGAGGCAGGGAGTGCTGCTGGCGCTGCTGCTAGGGCGAATGGGGTGGGGTGGTGGGAATAGGAGGGGCCGTTGTCCAACACTTTCCATCCAGCCTAGGTTTCTCAAGTCATGAAATTGACGTGACATGCTGACCTGACCCATCAAAGCATTGGAATGAAGTGTGGTAATGGTGGTGGTGCTAGGTGTGTGTGTTTCTAGGAGACAGACAGAAGCAATGCAGCTTGTTTGTCTGAGAAGTGGGTCGGTTCAATTCACCACTGTAATAAGAGCGTGTTCTTATGGCCTCTTCCCAGAATTTCCCTCCTGAATCTCGGCAATCCCGAGCCCAATTTCGAGTCGATTTTGTGTCAATTTCGCGTCACACTGCGTGGGACCGCACTGCACCGTTCCACCTCAATTTCGCGTCAAATTATGTCGCACTGTAGCGCGCAAATTTGGGAAGAGGTTGGCCTGGGAAGAGGCCGTAGGTGTTAAAGTCTGAACTAGGAAGAACAGAGGAGGCCGCCATGAAATGGCGGCCAAGGGTTTAGGTAGGAAGTTGACGAGAGTGTCGAGAGTGTCGAGAGAGAAAAGTATTAGATTAGGAAGAGAGAGAGTACAAGGAGGGGTTTGTACCCTCTACAGTAAGGTTCCGTAACCTACCAAGCCTAACAATTATATTAAAATATAATTTGAACACACCCCCTAGGCTTGGTAGTGGCAAACCCACACAACCCACACACACACCCCCTAACCCCGGACACCCTCATTCTCGTGAGCAGCCGGGTATCGACCCCTCGTGCTAGGCTATGACACCCCCGGTCGAGAGGCAGCTGGCCGCATCTGGGCGGCCTCAATGACGACAGCGGCGGAGCTCGTGCTCAAGGCGGCTGTGTCGATGAGGACAGGCGGCGACTGCGGCGGCTGAGGGCTCTCGGCGGTGTGGCACGGGCTGGCGACGACCGAGCCGAAGACAGCAGCTACGGCAGGAGCAGGAGGAGATGCAGGGGAGGGAGAGGTGGTGGGGCTGCTGTGGTGGGGCTGCAGGACTTCAGCGCGGCGCCATAGGCGCGGCGCTTACTGGCGGGAGGAGCAGGCGGGACGGGGCCCAGGAGGGGCGCGACTGGGCTAGGAGGCACGGCAGGGCCCAGGAGGGGCGCGACTGGGCTAGGAGGCACGGCAGGGCCCAGGAGGGGCGCGACTGGGCTAGGAGGCACGGCAGGGCCCAGGAGGGGCGCGACGTGGATAGGAGGCACGGCAGGGCCCAGGAGGGGCACGACGGGGAGGTGGAACGGCGGAGCCGCCACGTCAGGGCGGCAAGCCCAGCACGGCTGCTCGACATGGCAGCCATGCGACATGGCCGCCACGGCGGCACGGCAGGAGCGACGAACGCACGAGAACGCAGCGGAAAGCACGGAGGGGAGCAGGCCCAGGAAGGGCATCCCGCTCTCGATACCATGTTAAAGTCTGAACTAGGAAGAACAGAGGAGGCCGCCATGAAATGGCGGCCAAGGGTTTAGGTAGGAAGTTGACGAGAGTGTCGAGAGAGAAAAGTATTAGATTAGGAAGAGAGAGAGTACAAGGAGGGGTTTGTACCCTCTACAGTAAGGTTCGGTAACCTACCAAGCCTAGCAATTATATTAAAATATAATTTGAACAGTAGGAACACGCTCTAAAGCATTGGAGATTGTTAGTGTAGTGTGAAAATTTTGACGAAGGCAGAATATCGAGAGGTACAAGAGTGGGTAAGTGTACCCCCTAAGAACTGATCTAGATAGGATATATGAATATACACTAACTAGTTAGTATGTTGAGACACCACACCTCCTACCCTAGCTAGTGGCAGTTTATAACAAGGCAGAGCAAACCAGGACATCACTACTAGTCTGGCCTCTAACGAGTGTTACAAAGTAGCTCAGGGCAGCAGTACTAGTTTGATCACAGATACAAGAGGCCACAAAGTCTGTCAGCAAGTGTAACAAGACAAGCAGGTACAGAACAGTAAGTACAAGCCGGTATAGCATACATCAGGATACAAGGAACAAATCTGCTACTGAGACGCGACCTAGCTAAGTACAGTACCGCAGACGGTCATGAGGTGCTAGTGTCTTGGTGAAGATATTGGCGGTGTTGGCCTCTGAGGCCACCTGTACTGCACGAGTGTGACCGTGCTGCTGCAACTCACGCAGCAGGAAGTATCGCGATTGGATGTGCTTCGCCCTGCCCTCAAGTAGAGCCTCCTGGCACAAGAGGATCATGACCCTGTTGTTAGCAAACACGACCGGGGCAGGCCTAGGCTGTTCACCAATTTGGTGAGAAAAAACGTCAGCCAACGGAGCTCCTGAGCAGCCATGGCCACAGCGTAGCTCTCTGCCTCGCAACTGGACTGAGCTGCAAACGACGACCTAGTGGACCTCCACGAGACTGCACCAGAGCCAAGAATAAAGCAGTAGCCTTGTGAGCACTTTAGCATCTCCAAGTCGTCAACCCACGAGACGTCTCTATGTCCAGTGAGCACCATTGGTTCCCGTCCTCCTAGTACAAGCCCCAATCCTGATGTATTCGTCAGATACCGCAGTACCCTCTTTACAGCCGACCAGTGGTCTAGTCGCTGCCTCACGGTCGCAAAAAAGCGAGTAAGGATGATAAGAGGGTACACGAGATCTGGTCCAGTGCACTACATCAGATAAGGACCACTAGGCTCTACAGACTCCTCAGGGACTAGAGCCGAGAGCCCGTGATCTACTGGCAGAGGCGTGGGCTGTGCAAAAGCGAACTGAAGGGCGAACCTCTGAAGGATGTGGCGCACCAATTGTGACTGTGTAAGAGTGATGGTGTGCGTTGCTCTGTTCCTGGAGATCTGCAGGCCAAGGTAGCGATGCAACTGTCCGAGGTCAGTGCAAGTGTGTCTCCTCAACAGCTCAGCCTTCACGGAGGCCAGTGCATCTCTGTCTACAGTAGCGAAGACCAGGTCGTCTACGTAGACAAGGATGTAGAATGGGGTACTAGGGGCGAACGAGCCAGTGATGCCTGGCGAGCGACGCATGTAGACCTGCTCGTGTAGACTGCCCTCAAGAAACGTTGTGGAGAAAACGAGGGAGTGCAGCTCGTAGTCACGCTGTGCTGCTACGTGTAGCAGCGCCCGAAGCGTGGTCATCTTCGAGGTCGGGGCGAAGGTCTGAAAGAAGTCAACATCATCGCGGTGACTAAAGCCTCTAGCCAAGTAGCGCGTTTTGAACACAGGCGGCTCTCCAGGGGGGCGCTTCACCTTGAAGAGCCACAGGCCATCGACTACGTTCACCCCAGGTGGTGGAACTACGTCGACGAAGGTGCCGGTGGATCTCCAAGATGCCATCTCCTGCTCCATGGCAGCTATCTACTGAGAGGCCAGGGTCCCGAGGTCGCCTCAGCGTAAGTGCGAGGGGTCGGGACGTCAAGGGCGCCAGGGTTACCCTCAGGAACTAGTATCATGGAGCAGAGATGAAGCGCAGCCTCGGACATGAAATCTAGCTCATACTGTCTGTCCTCTAGGACATCACTGCAAAGGGCAGGAGCACCCCTGACAGACAGAGTACAGGCAGGGTCAGAGACCAGAGCGGTGGCGTAGTCAAGGTGGCGGGTAGAGGCAAAACAAGCGACGACAACAACAAGCGCGTCAAGACTGGAGACATGAACAGATGGGTCGGTAACGAGGGAGGCAGGGACCCAAGGAACAAGAGGACTAGCAGCATGAAGGAAGTAAGAGAAAGGAGGCGACGTGACAACAAGCGACGACGCAGGAGGCGACGGGAGGAGGGGAGGACGAGACGCGTGAGAATGAAGCAACATAGGGTAAGAGTGGGGAACAGGAGAGACAGGACAAGCACGAGAGGGACGGCAAGACCAGACGTGAGACGGAGGCATCGGGTTAGGAGACAGAGGAGGAGACACAGAAGGCGAACTAGGGGGAAACGAGCCAGAGAAGAGTACGGCAGAGAAAACACAGGGCCGTAGACAGGCAGGGGAGGCGGCGGCGAAGGAGGCGCAGGCAGGGAGTCGGGAGAAGGAAGACCGAGGAGGCGAAGGGCCAACAACGGCGGCGACTGCTGCTGCTGCGGCTCCAAGCCGACACCACAACCTCAAGCTGCACCACGGCTACCTCAGAGAAGCTCCACGCCAGCACCCCCATAACAGAAAACCTCTCCAGCACCGATGCAATCTCCAGGACCCGTGGACCCATGCGGCAGTTGCTGCGGCTGCGGCGGCGACGACTGCTGCGGCTGCGGCGGTGGCGACTGCAGCTGCTGCTGCGGTGGCGAAGGCGGCTGCTGCGGCGACAGCGGAGGAGGAGACACTGGGGCAGAGACCGGCGGTGAGAACGGAGCCGCGGAGCCACCAGTGCTAGACGACTCCTCGAGCGGGACAATCGACGGGAGGGGAGTGACGTGAGACACACCAGTTAGGGTAGGACCGGGGGCGAGAGGAGCAGGGGCTACGGGGGGAGCGGGAACTAGAAACAGGGGCGGGGAAACCGGGAGACCTTTGTGAGGAAAGCAGTGATAGAAGGAGACAGACTCGTCAAAGGTGACGTCACGCGAGTGGAAGAAGTGGTGGGATGACGGGTGGTAAAAGTGCCAGTCGGACGAGTCGAGGGGGAAGCCAAGGAACACAAAGGGGACTGTGCAGGCAGTAAGCGTGTCCGTGGCAGAGGCACGAACGTGAGCAAGGCAGCCCTATATGTGGAACGCAAACGCGTCACCAGGGAACCCGGTCCAGGGAAGGGTTGGCGAAACCTGCTGCCGCTGAGAGTGCGGCCACAGATTAAGCTGGTGAGCAGCATAGTGAACAACGAACGGCCACAGAAAATGGGGTGCGATGGCATGGATCATGGAGGTACAAGCCACCTCCATGACCAAACCGATGCGTCGCTCAACAACCCCATTCTGCTGCGGTGAGTCTGCCAGGGTGTACGACTGGGTGATGCCCTCCGCACGACAGAACTGGCCAAGCCGACTAGAGTCGAACTCGCCACCAGGGTCGGAGTGGAGATACAGCACAGAAAGACCACGGTGGACGCGCTTAGCTACGACCCACGGGATAAGAACGTCAGGCACTTCGGCCTTCCGCTCCAGAGGAAACACCATGGTATAGCGCATGTAGTCGTCGACAAGCACTAGAAAGTAGCGCTCTCGACGCGGCCCGGGGACGGGGGCTAGGCCCCAGACGTCCAGGTGCAGGGTTTGGAATGGCGCGGTGGCAGGGCGAAGTGAGGGGGAGTGAGGAGCATGGCGCAGGCGGACCTCGATGCAAGGCGTGCACGGTG